ATATATATATATATATATCCAACACAAAACTCCCCAACCCAACCTTAAGCACTAAACATCAGATAAAGAATTAAGGCTCCCCCCACACACACACCGCATTGGGCTCCCTCTGAAAGGGGCTCCAGTCCAGTTCTGGGGGCAGACGACCCCCCCTTCACCACATCTTGTTCTCATTCTGCACCCCTGACATCAGCAGCCGCCGAATCTCCTTGTTGTGCCTCCAACCCGCGGGTTGGGGTGAGGGTGTGTTGGGGGGATACGACCTGGTCTCCGCCCCCCACCATTTCCCTCTAGGTCAGTAAAAACCTCAGTCTTAAGGACCAAGTAGGGGAACTGGACCCTAGAATCCGCCGCAAACTTTGGGGCGGGGGCAGAAGGAAACCCCAGGAGATTGCGGTCTCCCCTCCTCCGTCCCCGCAGCTTCCTCTCCACCCCTGCCCCCAAACTCGAAAACCAAACCCAGCTCGCTAACCCGCGGCAGGCGGGCGGGCTGGCGGAGTAGAGCCCAGGCTCCTGGAGCTGCCCACATCTGGAGGATGACGACCCTCCTTTGGCCACATCTGGAGAGTATCCAGCTGAGAACCAAAGGGTCACGTCTCCTCTCTTTTCCTGGCTTGGATTCCACCCTTCCCAAGGAGGGCTGAGGTGTGTGTGTGTGTGTGTGTGTGTGTGTGTGTGTGTGTGTGTGTATTCGGAGGTGGGGCTCGCCTGGGGTTCCGACCAGACCTGCTCCTGCCTCCGCTGCCATCGGACGACCCCTCCCCTCCTCAGCAGTCTCCCTCTCAACTGTCCACTGTCTAGGCTCACTTCTCCAACTCACCTGGCTTTTGGTCCCCTCCGGCGGCGAGGCCCGCCCCCCTTTGGACCCTCTAGCCCTGGCTGTCGCCGTGCCCCGAAGGATATGGGTTACAGACCGTGCGGAGACACCAGCTCCGCGGGCGGCTGTCCTGGCTCAAGTAGAAGAAAACCACCGGGGCCAGCGCGGGGTACGGCAGTCCCTCCGCCTCGGAGTCCGCGCTGCCCGGGTCCTTCTCCGTCGACCCTGGCCCCTGACGGCCACCGGCCCTGGACAGGTCGTTGAACTGCATGAAGCTCCGGGGCTGTCCCGACTCCTCGGCGCCCGCTCCATCCTCCTCCTCGTCCATTCTCTGGCCAGCCGGGGCCCCGGGGGATCCGAAGAGGGGCAAGCGGCGCCCCTCAAAGGAGATGTCCTCACGCCACCGGGGGACCCCGGCGGGGGCGCATGGGGGAGGCTCTAGAGCGCTTGCTGAGCCCCCGGGAGGGCCAGTTCAGCCCAGCTTCCCGTGCCCGCAGGGGCATGCTGCCCGCCGGGCGCCGGGTCGCAGGGAAGCCCCGCCTGGCGAGAGTCCCGCTTCCCCTGGGCTCCCAGGGGCTCCCGGGCTAGCCGGCCGGCTTCCCCTCACTTTGTTCCGGCTTCTTCGCTTCGCGCCCAGGCTCCGGTTGCCAGAATCGGCGCTACCTTAGGCGAAGCAGCCCCCGAGAGGGGGAGAAAGGAAGGGGGCACCCGGTAGAGGGCGGGGGGTCCGGGAGGGGCGCCCCCTCTTCCCTCGTCGCAGCTGGAGCAGGATCTAAGGGGTCAGCATCGTCCCGGCTCCGCGCCAGAGGCGGCGGGGGGAGGGGAGGAGGGATCTCTTTGGGGGTGGGTTGGAGGGGGTGGGGGCAGGCTCCTTCCTCCGCCCCGCGGCGGGCTCAAGGTCCGGGAGGGGCGGGGAGACCGTGGGGGGCTGTCCCGGGCGGGGGTGGAGGCGGAGATGCCGCCGCAGCCGCAGCCGCCGCCGTGGCTGCCGTTGCCGTAGCTGTCGCCGGCGCCACTGCCTCCTCCTCCGGCCGAGACACCGAGCGAGCTAGCGAAAGCAGCGGCGAGGAGCCCGGCGCACACCACAGCTGGATCCCTCACTCCAACTTCAAGCCTTGGCCCCGCCTCTCCCCAGCCAACCTCGCAGCCAATCGCCGTGCGCCGCCGGTCCAGAGCAGCTCTCCCATTGGCCGGCCGCCGTGGCAGTGCGGGCGGGGGTGCGGAGAGAGAGAACCACAGCTGGAATCCCGTTCCCACCCCAAACCCAAGACCGCCTCTCTCCCCTCCCCTTGCCCCTGGGTCCGCTCCCTAAGGCTGGAGCCAATCAGACCGCTGCCCAGACCGAACCCACTTTCCTATTGGCCTCTGGGGTCTTTGGGACTCCCCTGGAGGAAGCCTTGGGGAATCTGAGTATTTGGCGTCGAGTCCCGGGGTAGCCCTGCGGGCCTCGAGCATCCTTCGTCCAGGACCCCCGAACTGGACCGCAGCCAGAAGGCGGTACTTAGCTCTGGGCAGGCCGGGAGAAGACTGAGGCAGGGGGCACAGGAGTGAAGGGTGTTAGCGGGGTCCCACCGAGAAATCCGGCTCTCCACCTGGTTAATCGCCCACCGTTTCCTAGAACCTGGGAGCCAGCCTGGGGAAGGGGAGAAGCGGAGCAGAAGGTCCAGGGAGGTGGAGGTTTCAGGATGGAGGGGGCGGTCTTGTGGAGATAGGCGGAGCTGGGAAAGGCAGGCGTGGGCGTGGTTTGGGCGTGGCCTCCATTGACCCTGACCTAACCCTAAAGCCGCAGGCCTTGACCTCTCGCGGTCTCTCTGACCCTCTTCTCCTACTCCTAGAGATTTTTGAAGGACGTCGACTTCGCTCGGGGGCTTCGGGCTTGCGTAGCCCAAGCAGGTCACACCAGACTGCAGAGCCTGGATCCCCTAGCGTCGCAAAGCTAGGAGTGCCTGTGGGTTCCGAGGGTTTGGGAGGGAGTGACACCAGAGCTGGGCTTTACCAGCTCATCCTGCTCAGCCTTGCTCTATGCCTCAGTTTCTCCCCTCGATTCCCAATACTGTTTAAGGGAAGTCTGTCTGCGAGACAAGAGCTTCGCGAGATCACTCCCCTCAGCACTCTACTGAGAGTGGATGTTCGTGCTTCAGTGCTTCCCACGCGCGTACACGCACGCGTCGATCCCGGTACTCGACCCGTCTCACCTCCTTGTTCTCTGGGGCTCAGTTAGCTCCAGCTCCCTCACACCGCCAGGGCCACCTCTAAAAAGGTGTGAATGCCAGAGGGCGGGGCGCCATTGGAGTACTTGGGTGCATGTGGGTAGGAGGACATAGAGGATTAGACGCCGGTAGCACTTCATCATCTGTGGGAGCCTATACACGATGGAACGGACATGATGGGTTGTCCCCAGAGACTCAGGTTCGCTCATGCCGACTCGGGACCAGATGACCTCCACCACTCCAAGACTCCGAGGTGTTCTTAGCTTTCACAAAACTGTGCCACCCACACAACCCCCGACCCCTCCTTCCACCACAACCTGGGTTAGGGGCCGTCTCAGCTCCAACTCCTACCGGTTGGAGGGGGGTGAAATGGGGAAGGCAGAGTGGCTACTGCGCCTTTGCCTCCGAGGATGCCCTTTCGTGCAAATGAGGCCGGGCCTATTTGCATTTCATGCTAATGAGCGGATCCCCTAAGTGCCTCTTTCTCCTGGAGGGAGCCACTGCTCTCATTCCAAATGTGAGGTGCTAATCTTGAACTCAGGGCCCTCTTCTGGCAGAGGGGAGATATTTATGGCTCCCTCTCAGAATCTGAAGCCTCTCCTCCATCCATATGTCCTCAGTGTAGCAGATGGGGTTGCCTTTCTGACCAGGGTCTTGAAATTCCTAGGGTTGGCACTGAGCGCTACCCAGTGTTTGCATGAGGGGAAATGAGGTCAGAGGCCAGTGCTGTCCCACAGTCACAGTTCTCTAGTGGTCAGCAGGCCACACCCCTTCAACCTTGGGCAGCCCTGTTAGAGAAAATACTCAGAAAAGGGGTCAGGCAGGCACCAGCTGAAGAAATTGAGACCTACTTCCCTAGGTTTGCAACCTGGGGGAGATCTACCATCTAGGACAGCTGGAATACCAGGGGACCTTGATATCTGTTACCTGTGTGGGGGAAGGGAAGAGGAAGGCAAGAGAGGATCTGAAGCCTTCTTTCACTCCAATATTCAGTCTCAGCTCTGGCATTACCCCCTCCTCCTGGCTTTCTTTCCAGGAGGTCCTTAGTAATGACTCAAGTGCTGAGGTGCTGAGGATAGGGTACTGAGCCAGTCAAAGTGGAAAACCTAATAGTACTCAGCCTGGGGATGATGCATGGAGATGTATCTTTGCTTTGAGGCTCTGTGTTCCCTGAGCCAGGTCCTAGCCTGGAGATTGGCACATAGTAGTGGGCACTTGGTGAGTTTTTCTCTGATGAATAACCTCAGGGAGAGAGTTAGGGAAGAGAGAGGAGAATTTCCTTTCTTTGTGCCTCAATTTTCCTACAAAGTTAGACCTATATGGCTCAAACTTTCCTCCTGGTTTGGGAGAGCGCGCACACACACACACACACACACACACACACACACACACACACACTTTGCTCAGCCAGGCTCTCCCAAGCCCCTGTAGCCCTCTGGCCTTGGCCTCTCCCCTCCTACTTACTGGTTCCCTTGAGAACTAAGTAAACCATACATCTCAGTTACTGTGCTTTGACCAAGCAAATACACACACACACACACACACACACACACACACACACACACACACACACACACACACACTTTGCTCAGCCAGGCTCTCCCAAGCCCCTGTAGCCCTCTGGCCTTGGCCTCTCCCCTCCTACTTACTGGTTCCCTTGAGAACTAAGTAAACCATACATCTGTGGTCCTCTTTGCTCAGGGATGCTACAAACATTCCATTTGGTCACCACAGCTCTGGGAACTGGGTTGGGGGATGCCCCATTTCTCAAGTAAGAAAGCTAAGGCTCAGAGAAATGAAAATACTTAAGTGACTCCCAAACCAAAGAGGCCCTGTGTACTGTGACTCTGGGTCACGGGTGTCTCAGAATATTCCTGCCGGCAGGAGAGGACCACTGGGTGGGGGTTTGGGGAACTGGCCAAGAGGAAAGAATTCTGTGGGTTTTTTTTAATCAATTCTGTATCCAGCAAAGGTTATGTTCAGCCTGTGCTCTTTGGAAAGTCCAGCCTTCCTGGGAGAAGTGACTCCTCTGAATCCATTTATGAGATCCCATTGCCCTGTGCATGCCTGATACTAGAAGGGAAAGGAAAGATGTAAAGGGAAGGCAGGGCAGAGGAAAACTGCTCTTTTTCACAGCCATGCATCCACCTCCTGGCAGAAGAGGAAACCTTGGTGATCTTTGAGGTCACTCTGAAGACCCCAGGGAGAACCTACTTTGCTTAAGAGTCTCAGGCCAGACTCTTCACCTTTCAGGGCCTCCAATAGCTATCCCTAGATAGCATACTACACTGCCTTACCACCTCACTCGTGAGGGTCAGTGGGACCACAGTAGCAAGAGGGCTGCATGAACTGCCCAGACTGTTCCAAAGCCAGTTCTTGGGCTGCCAAAAAGGCCACCTGTGCCTCACCATGCTGCACCCTCCCTCCCTGCTGTCCCCCAAGGCAGGCACCACGTGTCCAGCCTCTGACTTGCTGGCAAGGCTGAGTGGGTTCCAGCAAGAAAGGGGCTAGCTGACCTCATTGGCCGGAGTGCTAATCCCCTCCAGATGGGCCGGTGGCTAGCACTAAGGGCCTGCTGCCCGGACTAAGACAACTCTGGTCCAAGTGACTGTGTGTAGTTGTGCGTGAACATATGTGGGAGTGACTACATCCAGGCTCTGGGTTCCTTCCCACTCCCTTCCTCCCTACTGCTGACACCTCTTCCCAAGCGGCAAGCGGTAGCCCCCATCCGGGCCTCATCTCTATGGCAGCTTCTTTTGGCATCTGTGTTGCTGGGCTTGGAGGTTAGGAAGATGCTTAATTCAGCAGACCCCTGAAGACCCCTGAGGAACACCTCCCCCACAGCCCCATCCCACAGCCCAATCACTATACCTGCCCATCCTGAGCATGTTTTCCAAGCCTCCTCCCCCGACAGTAACCTCACAGGGTTTCCTTTGAAGATGTGCCAAGGACAGGACACAAGAGCATTGAGAGGATAGGTGGTCCCAGGAAGGCGCCAGCCTCCTCTGTAGCAAGAAAGACTCAAATGGATTTGGGGAAGGGTTTCCAACACAGCAGCTGCTCCACATGCAAGAAAAACCCCTTCCCAGACCAACCTGCAGGAAGCAGATGAACATGACCCCAGTGACACTGGGGATAGGTGGGCACCCCAAAAGATATGTCTTAGATCTGGTAATAGCAGTTTCTGCAGTACACCAGCATGCATGAAAATGTTACCTTTCTGTAAACCCCATAGAAAGCCCCCTGTCCCCTCCCTATCTCTAAACAATGGGACAAGGGAGAAGAAGGAGGGCCCCTTCATAGTAGGGTCTTTCCCACTCCTGGGCCAGTACACACTTTATCCTCATCCTGGTTGGTCCTCTGTACTTAGTTTTAGTCCCCTCACTTTCATTTCATTCAAGCTCAATAATCATGGACAGAAGCAAGCTCAATCTAGTGACCCATGGAAGAGAAGACACAGGGGTCAGCTGGGAACTCTCAGAGGAAGGGACCCCAGGCTGCTGGTTTGGAGGCTGAAGCAGAGGCCCCTCCCTCACAAGAGAGGCTAAGACCCTGAGGTTACCACGAGACACTGTTACACTGTTAGATTTATTCCAGGGTGAGCAGATGCCCATGTGGCGGGGGGGGGGGGGGGGGGAGCTGTAAAGATGGCTGTGATCATTTGGTGGTAGGGTGCCCAGGGATGACAGTCAGCTCAGCATAACCTCATAGGGCCTGAGTCTCTCTGGTCAGCTGGGAAGTTCTGCCTTCTGGCCCAGCTCAAAGGGCTCTAGGGAGTCACTGGCGTAGCAGCTTTCGAAGTTCACAGGGCTCAGTGATGGGCATGGAACAGGCTTGGTTCTCACATATGTAGGCTGTGGCCTGGTCGTCTACTCGTGGCAGGGTGCTCAGGAAGGGCAGCTGGCGGGACAGGAAGCCTAAGGGGTCTCCATCAGCCAGAATCAACACCTGGGGCAGTGCCAGAACAGAAAGGGTCACCTGGGAGAATAGCACTAGATATTGTAGAGTCCACTGGGAGATGACATTTCCCCAGACCTCCAGAGGGAAAGATGTTGAGGAGCTGAGCTGGGAGATACAGTGAGGGGAGGTGGAGAGTGAGCCCAGTTCTGCAGGGATGTACACCTTGTTAGGGATGTAGATGGAGTGGACGCACTGCACCAGGGCCTTGGTGTCCTTGGCTTGGGGGTTTCCACAGATCACAATCTGGCCAGTACAGGAAGAACATACAGTGTCAGAAAGGAAGAGGTTGGGCTCCAGATCTGCTAGGGCTTTTCTATCCTTCCTCTACCCCACCCAATATTCCTAAGAAGGAAGGGGACTCACTGCAGCTGCCAGGAGGCTTCAACAGATTTAATGTTTGCAAGTAGAAACACACACACACACGCCACACACACACTCACACTCACACAAGTGGCAATGGCATACGTTGTAGAAGACATACAGACATGGGAGGGCATACCCAGAAGACTTGATACACTGGATGACACAACAGACAACACACAAGGAGACACATACATACAGCAGATGCCCATGGAAGCAGATGCCACATATATAAACACACACACAGAGGCACACACAAATATAAGAACGCAAACTTGAAGACAGATATATACACATGCAAATAGGCAAATAAGCACACATTGGCTCACACCTGCATATACCCAGAAAAGCAGGCACACATACACATGCAGCCATTGCCTCCTCCGAGGGTTACACACACAGCAATAAAGCACATAGGGACATAAATAATCAACCTGACATGCTGAGTCTTACAGAGATACACTTCACCAGCCACCAGGGACCCATATTTAGCCCCTGCCTCTTGCCTTCATACTCTGACAGCCCAGTGACAGGCCTTCGCAGGCACATGCCTGGACCAGTATCTTCAGGTAACACCCTCCTACAAACACCTCCACTCCACAGAGTGAAGACCTGCCTTATAAGCACCTATACACATATAAATGAGCTCTGGGGACAGCCCTGGAACCTGTTCCCTGCCCCATCCTCCACTGCAGCACCAGCTCCCCTCCTACCCTAGGTTCCAGTCCATGTGCCCTCACACTCCACCCCTACCTGCTTGAGAGTCTGCTGGTGAGCTGAGAGGGCACGGACCATCTCTGGCAATGCCACTGGGACACGGCGCATGCGCTCAGAGAAGGCTGTCAACAGGCACACACACTTGTCCTTCCAATCTTTGTGGCCGGTGAAGCCATGCAGCCGAAGCAGGTTGTGGGCCGACACAGAGTTGGCGCTGGGCTCTGCACCATCCTGGTCTGTAAGGGACAGTAGGTGTTGGAGGTGGTCAGTGGGTTTCAGGACCTTGCCCTGAGACTGAAACCAGGGCTGGAGGCGGGGGAGTGGGTGAGGAATGGGGTGAAGAAGAACATGCCTTGCTGGTCTAAGGGCTCAATGCCAGCTCCAGCAGTAAGTGATTCTTTGTTTTCACAGACCTCTCTACTCTGCTGAGCTGTGGGGAACCAGGCTCCTTGCCCTCACTGCTGATGCTTCTGTCCAGCTATGGGCTGGTGGGGCCCAGGGGCATCACCCAACTCTTTCCCTCTTCCAATCCATCCACACATCTTTTGGGGTGGCTGCCTCCATCTCATGTTCTACTCCTGGCTGAGCCTTTACAGTGCCTCCAGGACTGAATACCACAAGTGTCCTCTTAGTGGGTCACCCTGATTTCCCTGTTCCCATTCATCTCTACCACGGTCAGAGTGACCTCCTTCTGTTTAAGCCAGAGCAGGTCAGAATCCACTTAAAATCCCATGATCTCTCCCCTCCTTATCCCAGCCTCTGTACCCTCTTCTCACACCAGCTCTGCCTCTCTGTCTTCTAGCACTTGAGCTGTCCCCCTGGAATTTGATAGCTTGTCTCCTAAGTACCTCCATGGCCACATGACTCCTCTTGGTTAAGAGACAGCTGTCACAGGTTTAATCTGATCTTTCTCTGATTCTCTCTCCAGGCCCTTCTGTTCATTCAGTTAACATTTATTGAGCACCTACTGTGTGTCAGGACAGTACTAGGCCCTGAGATACAGCAGTGATAGGAAGCCCTACTCCTTGAGGAGACTATTAACAATATCTATGGTTTGGGTGAGACCTGGGGGGCCCAATAGAGGGTACTTGTCATGGCACTTATCACAAACGAAAATGTGGTATTTTTGTATATAGTGTTGGTCGTTAGTCCCCACCCCCACCACACACTGTAAGCTTCCTAAAAGAGCAAGGACCAAGTCAGTTTTGTTTAACAAATGAATCCATGGATTCCAAAGACTGCTAAGCATGTTCACAGAACAGAACAGTCTTTCCATCAACCCTGAGGTACTAACTCTCATCTGTATGTTAAGAAACAGGCTCACTGGGACTAGAGAGATGGCTCAGAGGTTAAAAGCACTGGCTGCTCTTGCAGAGGACCCAGGTTCAATTCCCAACACCCACATGGTAGCTAACAACCATCTGTAACTCCAATTGCAGGGAATCTAAAACTTTCTTTTGACCTCTGTGAGCATTGAACAACATGGGTGCACTTATATACATGCAGGTAATACACTCATACACATAAAAGAGAATAAAATAATAAAATATTTTTTAACAAAACAGGCTCATAAATATCAAAAGATCAGTTGGGCATGGTGGCTCATGCCTTTAATCCCAGCACTTGGGAGGCAGAGGCAGGTGGGCCTTGTGACTTAAAGGCCAGTTTGGTCTACATAGTGCGTTCCAGGCCAGCAGAGGCTACAGGGAGACGTTGTCTCAAAAAGACAAATGTGTGTGTGTGTGTGTGTGTGTGTGTGTGTGTGTGTGTGTGTCTCAAAAAGACCATCAAAGTCACAGAACAGAAATATACAAAGCCAGGCACTCCACACTGGCTTTTCGCTATAACACTACACAAGTGCCTGCCTCAGGAATGCTCAGCCCCAGCTGGATCTAGGACCCAAGGCCAGCCCATATCCATACTGACCATCCTTCAGACGCAGGGGCAGGCCTGCCCCCAGCTCAGCTTCACTGCAGAAGTAGCCACCACCCTGGGAGTCCCAGAAGAGCCTGTCCTGCGTGTCCTGCAGGCGCAAAGCCCACTCAAGCCAGGAGCTCTCCTGTGAGGCCTCATACAGGTCCAGAAGGCCCTGTACCACAAAGGCGTAGTCCTCCAGGAAGCCCCAGCAGGGCGGGGTGCTGGGGGTACAGGAGAGAAGGAGAGTCTGAGGACAGGCCCAGGAGTACAGACAGGGAACACTTTTCATGTTTTTTTTTTTTTCAAGGAATTCTCAACACCCTTCTCTCCTGTGGCTACCGTTGGCCCATATTCCCAAAGTCAATAGGCCCTGGGAAGTTAAGTACTCACAGTGAGCATACAACAGAGTGGGAGCTAGTGATCAATGAAAGGGGGAGAGGAAGGCTGGGACCACACAAGGAAATACCCTCCAATCTGCCCAGTCTCCCACCTGTGCTCCACAGTTCCTCCAATGCCAGCATAGCATGTTCGCTTCAGACGGCCGCTGGCCACATCAAACATGTGTCGTTTGAGGAACTTGGCACCATTAGTGGCCTGAGTGACCAACCTGTCCATGCCCAGGATAGCCCCAGTCACAGCAAAGCCAGACACCATCAGGCCTGGAGGCAGGAGAGATCAAGATGGTGATAGGGCATCCAGGGATGCCCACCCCACACCCCAGGCTCCAGCACCAGGCCCAGGCAGGTTACTTAGACTCTCTAAGCTGCTATTTGTTCATTTCTAAATTAAGAAGAGGCCTATGAAGGAAGACTGGGCAGACTAAGGAGCTTGGCAAACAGAATCAGGCCTCAGACATGGTCACCCCACCGTTCCAGGCAGCCAGCATCTTGCTGTCCAGGTGTGCCTTGGGCCGATGTTTCCGAGCCTGGAAAAGCTTCTCTAGCCCTTTGTTAAGCAGTGTGCTCACAGCCTCCACATCCAGGCCAAAGCGGGCTGCAGTCAGTTCCAGTGAATACCGCACTGCCAGCACGTTCTGGCCTTGCATCTCTTCCTTGGGGTCCTGAGGAAAACAACCTTGGTCAGGAGCCCATGCACTCTATGGGCCTGGGTTCTTCTTCCTCTGTCCCCAGAAGTTCTCACCTGAGTGGAGGTGATGTTGCCGGCCTCGTTGAGTCCATAATGCTTCATGAGGAGCTGGCCTGAGGTTAATGGCTCACTGGCACCCCCCACAGTGTCCGGGAGCAACTGCTGGACCTCTTTGACTGTCCATACATAGAAAGCACCCTCCTTGGGCTTCATGCCCCGCTCTGGGGGTGAGTCTGCATCTTCAGCACTGTAGAAGCCTCCTGACTGAGGAGGGAAGAGAGTTGTCTGGCCACCATCCAAAAGGCAGGGGAGACCCCCAAGCCCTCCCCAAATCAGGTCTGCCTGCTTCAGTAGACACATACCCGGTGGCTCAGGCTCTGGGTCACATATTGTAGGATGCCTTTGGCAACATCAGAGTAGAAATCATCACCAGAAATCTATGGGGGATGGATGCTGTAAATAGAGGTCACTGGGGCAGCTCAGGTTCATGGGAGATATTCTCCCAGGAAAGAAGGGGAGGGAAACCTGGATATCAAGTGTATGGGTTGAGAGTTAAGGGTTGAAATTATTAGGAAGCCACAGTTAGCTGGAAGGCCTTGAGAGTGGCAGCCAGGGTTGAGGTTAGGGGCAAGAGTCACCTGGAAGGCCTGGGAATAGGCTACTGCAAGCTGTGCCTGGTCATAAAGCATCTTCTCAAAATGGGGGATGTGCCACTGGCGGTCCGTGGAGTAGCGGTGAAAGCCCTGTGCCAGAAAGGATGTGGGGCTAGGCTGATCTCAGCCTCTGTTCCCTGCCTCTGTTCCCTGCCCCTGTTCTCAGTCCTGCTGCACCTCCAGGGGATGCCTGGCCTCCCCTCACCTGCCCCACATGGTCTCGGATGCCCCCATTGGCCATCATTTTCAGTGTGTGCAAGGCCATCTGCTGAGCCCTGGAGCCATCCTGAGTGAGCTGGTGACTGAGCCAGTAGGAGAACAGGAAGCTCAGGATCACTGTGGAGTAGCACAAAGAGCAGGGTAAGGAGGCCAAGGGGCAGGGGTGAGGGAGGCAGAAGTCTCTGGACAGGCTGGGTAAGTAGCTCACTGTCAGTCTTCATCAGGCTGGGAGTTGGGAGCTTCCACCATCAACCCAAAGGACACACAGGTCATTGCAAGTCAGAGGTCAGAATATCATTGGCTCACAGGGAACCAGGAAATAACTGAGCAACTCAGTAAAATGAGACAAGCCAGGGTCACTGGATCACTTGACCAAGTCAGAGGGTCATTATGTAGGTCAGAGTCAGAGGTCACTGACCAGGTGTGGGGAACTTGGGGGCCTCAGCAAAGCCACCGTATTCCTCATCGTAGCCTTCGTCTAGCTGCTGGAAGCAGCGGCTGTTCATGGTAGAAGCTGAGGGTGGCAGCTGGCGGTCACCCATGCTGATCTCCGACCGGGCCAGGAGGGCTGTGGTGACACGCTGGCTGTTTTCTAGCAGGGTATTCTTGTTCTGTTTCCACTGTAGGAGGTAGGCACACACCTGAAGGTCAGTATGGGCTGGGAGACCTGTGGTCCCTCATCTGGAGCCCTGGCATCTCCCTCTCCAATACCCACCCACCCACCTGTTCACGGATTCTCATTAACACTGTTCGAAAGCCAACTCGGGTCAAGCCATCCTCTGGGGGGAAGTAAGTGCCCCCCACAAAGGGCTGGAGGTTGGGGGTCAGCCACACATTCATTGGCCAGCCCCCTCCACTGCTGGTGGCCTGAAGGAGAGAGATCCAGGGTTAGGGGAGCTGCTGTGCACAGCTACAGCTAGCACTGCCATGGGAGATGGCTCACCTGCACGAAGGTCATGTACACTTTGTCCACATCTGGCCGTTCCTCTCTATCCACCTTCACGCTGATGAAGTCCTTGTTGAGCAGGCGGCCAATCTCTTCATTTTGGAAGGACTCTTCCTCCATCATATGGCACCAGTGGCAGGTGGAATACCCCACTAGGATGGATAAAGGGCATGAGGGTAGGAAGGGGCCCCTGGGATCCAGAAGACCTTTCCCTACCCACTGGCCCATCCCTGACCCCCATTCTAGGGAAGGGGGGTGTATTACCTGAGAGGAAAATAGGCTTGTTTTCTTTCCTGGCTTTGTCGAAGGCTTCCTGTCCCCAGGGGTACCTAGCAGGCCCAGCAAGAAGAAGCATAACTCAGCAGCCTAGGGGTCTCAAAGGGGCCTGGGACTGCAGCTGCTTCAACAGAGGTTCTGGAATGGTACTCACCAATCCACAGGATTGTAGGCATGTTGGAGGAGGTATGGTGACTTCTCATTGATTAGGCGGTTGGGTGGCTTCTGAGGTGTAGACTGAGAACAGTTGGTCCGGGTTCCCTTCCCTCCAGCAGGCATGGGCACTGAACTACTACTGACTGTAGCACTTCTGTCCTTGTCCCGGGAGGAGCTACCCCTGGTGTGGACAGATGGGTCACACAAGTGGGAACCACTTCTGCCTTACCCAGCTCAGTCAGCTCATCTCCACCAGCCTCACGGGTGCCCAAGGACCTCCACTCCCAGCCCAGCCCACCTTTCTGAACCACTGGGGAGACCGTGGCCTTTGTGCTCCCCCTTATGTTTTGGGGGGGTTGAGGAGAGGTGGCTCATTTGGGGGCTCCCTGCCAGCTTAGTTTCCCCCAGCTTCTCAGACTTGGTGGTGGGAGGACTGTGAGGTCAGTCAGGTCACAATGGGCAGAATGATCCTCTGGCTTGGTTCTATCACCCATGCAGGGCCCCCTCCCTGGGGTGGCTGTATTGCAGGTAACCCTATCATGTACATGGGTGACCTGGGTAGGGTATGGCCACTGCTGGTGTCTGGACAGGTCAAGAGGAGTTGGGTATGGAGCTGGGCCAGATGAGGTACCACCAGAAGAAGCAAGCAGGGACTGCTTAGCTGACACTCACTGCAGATTACTGGGCTCTCTGGGGCCAGGTGAATCAGATAGGCCTGTTACAGGGAGTTCAGCCTGGGAGGTTAGCCCTGGGAACAGACCTAATGACAGGCCAGTGCAACACACAAGACTGTGGCAGGATGCAGGGTGCTGTGGGGAGGAGGGCCTTTGGCAAGCAGCACAGTGTTTAACAAAGGCTCCTGGAGGTGGTGCCAGGGCAGTCCCCCGAGCTATCCCTGTGGCAGACCATAGGGGAAGGGAAGAAAGGGGGCCTTTCTGTAGGGACTAAGGGGCAGACAGGTGAAGGCGGGGCCAGGCATGCAGGGGGATCCAAGCAGGCACCACAGATGGGTGTCTGACCAATCAGTCATGGCACCCGGCAGGCAAAAGGCATGTTGCAGTGGCCTACTCCTACCTGCAGCTAATAGTAGACTGCTGTCCAGCCTGGTCCACACTCTTAGCATGGCTGCTCCAGGCCTGGCGGGTGACTGCCGGGGGCGGGTCCTTCCTCCGGTGTTCTTTAAGTTTCGAGCCGTGTCGCTGGTCTCCGAGCGCCACCCGGCGGTCGAGTGTAGAAATACAAACTGACTGCCGGGTTTTAGAGGAACCTGCTCGGTGCCTAAAATTGGAGCAAACTAGGCTGTGCTAGATTAAAAGCGCTGAGGGGCGGGGGAGGGGGGATGACCCTGGCCGTAGGGAGGGTATGGGATTTCTTTTCTTTTCTTTTTTTTTTTTTTTTAACCCTTGCCCCCATTACAAGTGAAAAATGTTGCTCCAGGCAAAGGGTTTGGCCCGGCTAGCAAGATTTGCTTGGTTCAGGCTTCCCATCTCAAGATCCAACTCAAATCCCACCCACTCCACCTGAATGTTAACACTGAACTGATGTACATCGTATGGCACGCTCTACTTTCTTCCTTCACTGCATTCTGTCAACACTGTCCACTGCTGGCCACTGTGTCAGACACTGAGTGGATACCAGTGGGTTACTCCCTGCTCTTTGCTCACAGACTACAGCTAGTGACTATTCAACCACCCACTGTGACAAGTATCATGAGTAGGTATAATCTAGCAAGAGACTTGATCCAGTAGATGGGACAAAGAGGGAAGGCTTCGTTGAAGAAATCCCACTCGAGTAGTTACCAGAAAGAATGAGAGGAGAGAACACGGAGTGTGGGAAGGATGTTGGAGAAGAAACAGAAGGAACAGAGTGTGTGAAAGTCCTGTGGTGTGTGGAAGAGTCAGGGCTGAGGGCCAGCAGAAGGCCAACATGGCTGGAGGACAGACAGCAAAGGGAAGACAGATGGTGGGTGAGGACAGGAGGTTGAAGAAGTGGGTAGGGTCAGGACTTGGGGGGACTTGTGAACTCTGAGGAGTGTGTGCGTGTGTGCATGCGTGCGTGCGTCTGTGTGTGTGTGTGGTACTGAGGATGGAATCCAAGGCCTTGCACATGCTACACAAGTGCTCCACTATAGAGTGTCATCCCCAGCAAAGGAACTTTTCATGACAGCCAAAGGAAGCTGTTGAAGGGCGTCTATCAGAAGACCAGCCTCTTCAGATCTGCATTTTACAAAGTACCTATGGTTCTCTGGTGGGAAATGCGCTAGAAAAAGAGGAAGCAGGGGCAGTAAGGAGGCCATGACAACACCCAGAGGACACGGGAGACTTGCCAAAGGGTCAGGGGTAGAGCTGCAGAGGAAGGGCTGGGATGGAGATTGGCCTTGAGGAGAGGGGTATCAAAGTCAGCATGTGGGTAAAACCTTTCTCTAAAGAGTGAGGGGAGGTTTTGAACCTGATGGTCTGAGTGCCTTTGAGATCTACATATGGAATGGAGGTGGCAAGGCTTGGAGCACATTAGAGAGGGTGCTAGGAGAGAAGGGATTCTCCACATGTAGGGTCATTGAGGAGACTGTAATGGGAGCCTAGCACTCAGGCCTGGACTCTGTGAATCTGGAAAACCACAGACAAGGAAGGTCACTGTGGAAACTGAGACAGTACAGTATCCCAGAGTGGAACCACTGGGGTCTCATGAAGCACAGAGCAATTGTGATAGTACATACCTGCAATTCCACCACTCAGGAGGCTAAGGGGAGAGGCTGAGGCAGGAGTCCAAGACAAGAGGAGCATGTGTTCATAGCCAGCTTGAATTACATAGTGTGAGGCCAAGTATGGGTTACAGTGAGTTCCAAGCCAGCCTGAGCTACATAGCAAGACTTTGTCTCAAAAGGGGGGGCGGGGCAAGAAAATGGCTCAGTTAATTAAGTGCTTGCTTCACAAATGTAAGAATCTGAGTTTGAACTTCAAAATCCACATTTTTAAAAGCCAGGCTAAGGGGCATGTGCTTGTAATCCCAGTGACGACGAGATGGGAGGCAGAGACAGATCCCTGGAGTTCTAGCCTAGCCTACTTGGCAAAGTTCCAAGCTACTAGAAACCCTGTCAAGCAAAAGGTAGAAGGTACCTAAGGAATGACACTTGAGGTTGTCTTCTGACCTCCACCCCCATGCATGTACCTGCACATACACACCAACAATAACAATAACAACAACAGACTGCCTACAGAGAAAAGAAAGGTCTTCTAGCTTCAGCAAACTGGACCCTTGGCTAGACTGGTGAATGTTGTCCAACTACATCAAGTGGAGAGCAAGCAGGCCATCATTGCCTGGAAGGGGTTGGGGGAAGAAATGGAAGAAGATAATGGGCCTAATTTCAAGATGGGAAAAGTTAAGGAGTTTGCATGTTGATGGACAGGATCTGTCTGGAAGGAAGCGATTTGAAGGTCTGGAGTCTGAGAATAGGAATAATAGGCAAGGGACCTGGGGGGGGGGAGGTGTGCTCCAGAAGATGTGCTTCAGGGCAGGGAGTGCAGCTCTCAAGGGAAAAACAGGAGGCCTGTCTTGAATGTGGAGGATTTGGGGTGATGACAGCTTATAAGGGTGGCCATGGGCAAAGGCACCTGAGAGGTTAGGGATTCAGGAGTTACATGAACTGGGGTGAGAGCCAGATGAGAAGACATGAGCCAGGAGGAAAACATGCTGAGAATGGGGAGTGACCAGCCCAGGAAGTGCCAACCTTGGGGAGGAAGGTAGGCCTAGTAGCTTCAGAAAGCAAGGTCACCAACCTCTTCTTTCAGGAAAACTAGTTTAGAAGGGGCTCTGGGGGTGAGAAGTAGGTATGGGGGGTAGATCCCAGGATCAAGGAGCTTGGGACCTTCTGATTTTGGGTATGGCAGAAGACAAATGGAGATAAATGGACACTGACCTGGGAGTATCAGCATAGCAACCCCACAAGGAAGAAACTCTTCTAAGTAAGGAATCAGAATCACAGTCACAGAGAGTGAAGTAATTTACTCAAGGTCAAGGATTGGTAACCACTTATTACCAAGCGATTGTCATTAAGTTCAGCCTGGGAGCAGAGTTTGGCGGGTATGGCTGACTCCAGAGTTTGGTGCTTAGTCCTCCTGTCTGCAGCATCCTTTTGAGCCTTTCTCCCTCACAGAAGCAGAACAGCTCTTCCCCTACCCTACTCAGGAAGGACAGTGATATTGTATGATGCCCCCCAACTGTGGTGCATCAGCCCAAGCAGGGCCATGTGAACCCCAAAAAGCATGGGGTCCGCATTAGGCTGTGTGTCAGGTCAGACCCTGGGTCCTGAGAATACATAGGTGCCCAGTGACCCAGTGAGGGGGGTTATTGCATAGAAATGAGGGTGACCATGGTGGCACCCAGGATGGAAGCCCAGATCCTTCTACTTTACTTTTGTTTTCTTAAACCCTGCAACAGCAGACCTCTGTTGTTGGTCAAGGTGGTTCCCATAGGCCCTAGTAAAGGGGGCAGGGTCAGAGTTTTCTGTGCCTGGTCACACTGCAGCTGTATCCCACGCTGCTGGCTTCTCTGCCTAGTGCCCTTTGAGCTTCTGGAGATTGTGGGTTCAGCCATTCTTGGATCCCTTCTGGGCCAGCCAAGCATTTTGTCCATGACAGTTGGTCAATGTTTGCTGAATAAACCTGGGGCCCAGCTGGGGAGCCAGACTGTCTGAGTCTGAATCCTGGCCACACTACCCCAGCTTTGTGATGAACATACCACTGCACCTCTCAGAGCCTCGATGTCCTGTTACATCGGAGTAGTGCTGACTGCAAAAGTGAGAGAGACCTGTGCCACCTTACCTGGGAGGATTAGGCCCTTAGTTAGATGTTTTCCTGTCCCTATCTTTGAAAAATATATTTTTTAGCCCAGGCTGGCCTTGAACTCTTGATCCTCCTGCCTCAGCCTACTGAGTGCTGGTATTACAGGTATGTGTCACCACAGCCAACCTTGTTTTGAAATTCTTTACTCAGTTTTGGACAGGGAGCACTACATGTTGGGCTTGTGTCAGGCCTTAACAAACTCAGAAGCCCTGACAGTGGAATTGCAAGCATACCTGTCTCAGAAGCTTTTTGCAATGATTAAAAGAAATTATCTGCCTAAAGTGCATAGCACACTTAAGAATACACAAGAAATGGCAACAAATGACTGTTGTCTCTTTCAGTGCATCCCGGCTACCGAGGTATGATACATGAATTGAATGAGCGAACAAGTGAGAGAGAGGCTGGGAGCCCTGGAAGGCAGGCACCAGGTCGACAGGGGATGGGAATGGGGCTTGAGACAGCTATGAGGCAATTGAGAGTACGTCTGCACTCCAGACTGTGAAGTAGTTTCCTCGGCTGATAGCCCAGCTGTCACACCCCTCAAAAAGTCCATTTGCTAAGGAGATTGCTGAGGACATGGATTCCACTCTACTAGGCGGTGCAGTCTCCGCCCCCTACACGTGGTCAGTCTCTAGTTTCATTCGGATGTCGGGGATCCACAGAAGCCTGGCTCAGTCCCTCTACCAGCACGACCGACCCAGCGGGGCGGGGCCTCGCGCGCAGGCGCCGAAGCGTCTCAGAGGAAGGGATTGGTGCCAGCCTGCGGGGGCAGCTGTCCGGCCGAGCCAGACGTGGGCAGCAGCGGCTGCGGCAGGCTCGAAGACGGCGGTGCGAAGGCGCCCGCCTGCGGGAAGACGCTGATGGAGACGGGGAGGGTCGCGCCGACGGGCACACTGCTGAGCGGGAGGGGCAGGGAGGCGCTGTAGGTCATAGAGCCCAGGGGCGCCCCGACGGGCCCGCCCGCCGCCAGGCCCAGTGCGGGCGATCCCGTGCGCATCTGGTTCAGGGTCGGCCTGCCCTGCTCGCTCGCGCCAAATGGGTTAGTGGGGGACGGAGCGCCGAGACCTGCAGACAAAAGGATAAGAGGGTGGGGGCTTGCAGCGGTGGGAGAGGGGCAGCCCCCAGGAGGTCCCAGACACCGGGTCCGGGTGCTCTACCTGTCAGGAAGGGGTTCCGGGTCTTGGCAGCCAGGGGTGCCTTGACCAGAGAGTCCAGGTTGACCAAGGAAGATGCCGAGGGACCCAGGAAGGACTCCGGAGTCCGGCAGGGGCGTGCGTCCTTGCCAGGCTGCTGCGTTAGCGTCTCTCCTAGCACAGCCAGGTCAAAGGTGTCGGGCTCCTTCGTGCCATTTTGCTTGCAACTAGGGCTAGGGTCTCCAAACGGGTCCAGCTCTGGAAGAGACATGATGAGTTCAGTTGTGGGGAGAGGACAGAGGTGCCCTTGTGGTTCCTCCTCCACCAAGCAGCCCTATCCTCTGGCCTGCTCACCCACGGGGCTGCTGGACTTCCCTGCCGGCAGGGGCTGGGCACTGTCCAGCTGTTCCTTGGGCTCTGCGGATTCTGGAGGTTTGGCAAATGGGTCAAAGGCTGAGGCACCACCTAGAGCTAGCCAGGAGAAAAGGAAAAGGATTAAGTTGGCAGAAAAGGCAGGCGTGGGTCTGTCAAATGGCCCTCTCTCTCACCATAGACTGGAGGGAAGGGGACCCAGAAGTCCCCAGTCACTCACCCATGTGCCCTCCACTTACCAGAGGTGTCAGAGGTCTCCATAGAGGCCCCCCAAGGGTCTGCCCCAGTGCCAGGGAGTTTGTGGTTGGGGGAGCTCGGTGCCCAGGGGTCTGCGATGGGGGCTCCAGCAGGCAGCACTGGGGTCCTGCCCCAGGGCTCAGAGGAAGAAAGAGTAGGAAGCAAATCCCAAGGCTGACTTCGAGACAGGGCATTTCCAGAGGGGACTGGAGACCAGGGGTCTGCAGAGGGTCCCCAGGAGGAACCACTGGGTTCTGTGTTGGGCCTGAGACCTGGAAGGGAGATGGAGATGACATAAATGTTACCTTCCCACACACCCTTTGTCCAGGGACCTTCCCAGTTGCCCAGCCCAGGTTGGGAGGTGTGGGACCCCCTTGGGATGCTGACTTGGGACTAAGCAGTACTCTGTAGGCCATGTTTAGCATGGAAGCCCAGGAACCTGCATAAGAGCAACCTGGTCATGGTTGGCTGGCCAGTGAGGGCAACTAGGCCATCTGCTGAGCATCTGTGAACTGGGCTCTGCAGGGCCTTCGTTGCAAAAGCCTCCTCCTAGAAGCAGCTGAGGCTCAGGAAGGTGAGTGACTTGCCCAGTGATTCTCAGCTATGGAGCGGAGGTCATTTGCCAGCAAGTGGCTAGAAGGAAGGGACTCTTGGGAACCAGCCTGGTAGCCTCTGGCAGCCCTGCATGCCCACCTGGGATGTCCCATGGGTCAGCAGAGCAGTGTGTGGAGGGCGGGGCTGGGGCAGGTGCGAAGATGTCAGCCAAGTCCAGGATGGAGGACTGTGAAGGGGAGAGGCAGTTGTGGCTCAGAAGTGGGTAGGGCCCAGAGGGAGGGTGGACCTGACCTGCTGCCTGACACCAGCTCCTGCCCTCCTTCCTTCATTCCATAAGCATCCCTTAATAACCCCTCACCTCTGGTCAGCACTTCCATTTATAAAACATTTCCTCATCCATTTAATGCCTAATTTCATAACATCCCTGTGAGGTAGGTGATGTACCCATATTACAGATGAACCTGTCGAAGCCCAGAGAGGGGAAATAAATTACCTGAAGTTACATAGCCAGAAAGGCAGAGCTGGGCTAGATCTCATACCAAGAGAAAGGGGCAGTCAAGGCAAAGATGATTTTTTTTCAATGAGTCCACCTCTCTAGTTCAGTATCCTAGGGGAACTGGCCACCACGAACATGGGTGGGAAGGACAGAGATACCCTTACAGCATGCTCACCCTCCCAAGGAGCTTGAAATGTTTTCCGCACCATGTGCTTGAACCAGTCCCTAGCCTGGATCCACAGTATCACATGATCCTACAATGTGAGAACTTAAACTGTCCAAAATTCCCACTGTACAAAAGGGGGACACTGAGGCCAATAATATGCCCCAAGTCATAAAGTGGCAGCAGGCCCAAGGGATCTCCATCATGACTGATATGTCACTTCACTGTCAGCTCAGTCACTAGCCTTTGCTGTACACCACCACCTCCATTTCCCTTTAATAAACAATAAATTTTCCGCTTTAATAAAACTTGCAGTGAGCTCCACTCTACAAGCTATACAAACGCCAACTCAGTTACATCCAGGCCTGGCCAGCCTGTCACCCCAGCTCCCTCCCTACCTGACTAGTTTTCAGTTTCTCCTCCTCCTCAGTCTCTTCTCTCCCAGGTTCTCTGTCCCGTGGATGGCGGCTGGCAGTTTCTGTACCATTGGCCACGGGAGAGTTATCTTCCCTCCAGGACCTCACTCCCTGCAGAAGGAACAGGTAGGGCATGAGCACCGAAGCTGGGGTCAGCATAGAGCAGGGTAGGAGGAACCCAGATTAGTGCAACAGAGAAGCCGATTATGCCCCTCGCACCTCCACCAGCACCTTCACCAGCACCAGCACATGGGCAGCCCCTGTGGGCCAGGCGGCTCAGCCCCCTTGCTACCTTCTGGTGCTCCTGCCGGCTCAGGCTCAGAGCCAGCTGCAGCTGCAGGTCCTCATCCCTGTGGGAGGCTGGGGGAACTGGCTGTGAGGGAGGAAGAAAGGGATGAACTTGACCCAGCACTCCCACATCTGGGCTAGAGGGACAGCCCAGGACACAGTGATGGAGAGTCAGAGATGTGCCTTGCTCAAGAGGGTGGGCAAGAGGGTGGGCAGTGAGGGGTGGTCATTTCCCTGCCTGGATCTGAGCCACAGCTTGAGAATCAGGAATGTGCATCGTTTTCTTTTGGATACCCTGAGAACTTCCCTAATTGCCCTCACCCCATGTGAGGTACAGATGCTTCCTGCCTGGTCTACCTGAATACACAGAGGTAATGGTAGCAACGATGATATCACATGGGGGCAGTAATAATCCCAGTATTTTCTCAGAATGTGTTGGTCAGCACAGATCCCCCTCTTTGACCATAAGGAGATAGGCCCTAAGACACAGCACAGACCCAAAACACATGCCACCCTTTTTTGCCCAGAGTGAGAGCATTGGAGTTTAGAGTTCCTGCTGAGGACAAGCCCAGGGATGCCAACAAGCCCTATGCTGTCTTGAGAGCTAGAGTGGTGCTGCAGGTCCAGGCTGGGGACACTGAGGGAGTGCCAATCCCTTTCCTTCCTCCCTGTGTAGACACAGGTCTCACCTTCTCAGCCTCCTCGCGGCTCATGGCCAGTGCCAGCTGCAATTGCAGCTCCTCTTCTCCTGATGTCTGGGGCCGTGCCTGCTCCAGGTCTGAGGCATAGCGTGGGGATGAGGATGCGGCTGCAAAAAGCATGGTGGCTTCCGTGAGCACACCAGTAACCATGCGCCACCACAACCCTCTGCCTGCTAGGAGGCTGGGGCTCACAGAGAAATTGAGGCCAGGAACCAACTGGCTATGGAGGCACCATTTAGCCAGACAGTACACTGGGCACCTCCTGTGGACTTCCCACTGCACTGCTGATGCATATGCCAGGGCCACCATGGCAGTGGGTAGACAGTTCAGGGAGTACCCAGCTAGGATCCTAAGTCAGGACTTAACCAGGGTCCCCTGACTTTAGCTCTTGAATCTTCCAGTGGAACTTTATCCTCCTTGGGTCACAGGCTTTGGGAGAGAAAGATCAGCCAGTCAAACAGAATCACAGTCCCAGAGCCCCAAGCAGACCATCATGGGCTTTATGGAAGGAGGATTGTTCTGGTGTGGAGGTCACTGAGGTCTTGACCACTGTATGGGCAAAGCAGCCACCGGTTTTCAAGGGCAATACCTTTGAGTGGCAGGGATTGACAGAATGCCAGGCATCTGAGTAAAAGGGTCAAGAGCGTTCTTGGGCCTTATCTTCTTTAATTCTTAGATCAAACATGGAGGAAGGCAAGCGTAACTGTTTAACAGAGAGCTCATTGCCTGGGCCATGCAGCTTAGAAGGAACAGAATGAATAGTATGTGACTCCAGAGCCCGAGCTTATACCTCCATGCCACCCTATCAACAGCTAACGAACAAGGGGACAAGCAGGTGATAATGTCATTATTTCATCTGACCTGCTAAGCACCTACTATATGCAGGCATTGCGGCCTGCACCTTACATTCCTCTCTCATTGGATCCTACCAACCTCTTTCTGGGGTAGTAGCTATTAACCACCAGCTTGAGGTTGTAGAGCCAGTACTGTAGCTCAGGCCACACCACCACCCTCCCTAGTTCCAGCCACATGCAGTGCCTACTCACAGGTGTAAGAAGATGGGGAGCCCCTCGAGCGTCGGTTGAACCCCAGCTGCCCACTGCCCATGCCCATGCCCTCCAGTGCCATGCGCTCTTTGGTCTTGAGGGCATGGGTTCGCTCCTGCCGTAGGCGTTCCTCATCCTTGAGCAGGGCCATGACCTGCTTGACCTTCTCACGCACGTTGACACCCTGGTCTTTGCCATCGCGGTCAATGTACTGGAAGTCCTTGAGCGTTTGGATGGTGTAGAGGTTCTCCCGGCACTGGTGGGCCACACGCTCAGAGCCCGTCTTGAGCAGGTAGTCCAGCAGCGTCAGTGCCTTGTATACATGCCGCCAGTTCTTTCCGCTGTCATTGAGCCGCCGCCACAGCATGCCCATGACCTCGGCGAAGGCCACCGTGTTGAAGGTCAGGTCAGCGATCTCTGACATGAGCGAGCTGGGTGGACCCCAGGGGTCATTGCTGGTGGCCTCTCGTACCTTGATCTCAGCCTCAGAGTAATTGTGAACAATGTTCTTCACCTGGCGTCGAAGTGCAGAGGTCGTCATGGTGGGTGACTTGGAGGTGGGCGGCCCCCACCCCCGCCAGAGGTGGTGGGCCGGGGGCCACCTTTTTGAGGTCACGATCTCGGAGGATGGGCCGCCGTGCTCTCAGCAGGGCGGCTGTGTTCTTGGGTTCCACATGGGGCTGAGGAAAAGAATCTTGATGTCAGGGTCAACAACAATCCCTTCACTGGTCATTCAGTTACCCACCAAGTAAGGCCTCACCAGAGTGTTCCTGCTGCCAGGAGCAGCTTTCAGCCAACATTTACTTTTAGTTTTCTTACTTTACTCATTTTTCAGTGGGCACTGTTTGCTTGGCATGCTCATCTATTATCCCCCCACCCCACCCCACCCCAAGCCAAATGCTGAAATCATTATCTCCACTCACACATGGGGACAGAGGAACTCAGAGAAGCAATCAACAACTTGTCAGAGATCATAGAGCTGGTAGGGGCAGTCTCCCCTCCACCTGAATGTGTGGCTTCAAGGACCATAAAGTAACCACCAGGAATGCCACTCGGCCACCTTAGGCTTGGCTCCTCCTCTGTGCCATACCCTTTCCAGGTTATCCATTCACTCTCCTCTGTTCTCATATGGCCATTTTCCATAGTTTGGTTCACTCAACACCTATTTCCTGGGAGCCTTTTTCTGAGCCTGGCAATATATGCCATAGGCCACCCACATCCAGCTGAGAAGGCACAGACAATCACAGCTCAGTGTGGGCATGCCAAGGAGTAATGAAGGACAAGCAAGGAAAATAATGGGAGACTTCCTGGAGGAGATGGTGCTGAACTGGAGACCCTAAGGAGATAGAGGGAACCACAAGGTAAGGAATGCTGTGAGCCTGGCCAGAAGGTACAGAGAAGGAACATGCGCAAGAGGCTGCTTCTCCCAGAGCCCCAGCTGCCCACCAGTCGGCCACCCCCACATACACACAGGAGTGCTGCGACCTGCCCATGTCACAGGACAGGTAGGTGGATGGACTGGGACTGACAACACCTAGGTCTCCTTGAGACTAACTCAATACTTATTGTCAGTGTCACCCAGTTTGGTGATTAATTAATCTAATTACTTGACAGTTTCAGTCCCACCTTCTCAGCCAGAATGGAAGTTCCCTGAGGGCAGGGACAGTCTATACAAAACACTAAGGCCTTGAGTACAGGAAGACCTGGGATAGTCTAGCAGTTGGAGAATCAGGGCCAGCCATCTCCCTTTCCATAGCCTCAGGACCAGGAGTCAGAGAAGAGCCCCCAAGGCCTATGCCAGAAACTCAAAGCATGAGTCTTCTGCCACCACCATTCTTCTGGCACTAGTATAGTTTTGTGCGCGCGCACATGCGCGCGCGCGCACACACACACACACACACACTCCTGCAGCACCTCCACCTTCCCCATGAACCCCCCACAATCCATAGGCATTGTACCTCCCAGTGTCACCGGCCAGCCACCCTGTTGTATCTCAGCTGCCAGGGGGGATTATGTCCTTCTCCCAGGCCCCAGCACCACAAATGAATGCTTACCTCAGTTCAAAGCACCCCACAGGCCTTAGCAGCTTGGTCAAAGCCTATTGAGTTTGGGCCTAAGGATGGGATTCCTTAGGAGTTGGGATAGCACCTGGCCTACAGTACTGCCTACTTTCTGTCGGGTGTCTGTCTTGCTGTTCAGCCGGGTGTCTGTCTTGCTGTTCAGCCAGCGGTTGGCCTTCTGCGGGGTTGCCACAGCCACAACTTGTTTAACTCCCATCCTTCCCCCCCAGCTAGTGAGTCAGACCTATCTTCACCTCCCCATTGGGAGGGCAGGCTGTTGGTTCCATAGTCAAGATGGGGAATAATTGTGCATGAAGCCCGCCCTGGTGCACATGCTCCTCCCTGCTGGCCGCTGGAACTGGCAGAACCAGTTGGACATCCTGACTCTATCAGAGCCCTACCTGGCCCTGGCTCCCCAGGCTCTCCTTTGCCGGAGTGGGTACACTGAGCTTCATGGAAAGGGGCTCTATGCGTGGGCCCCATGGCCCTGCCTGGACTTTTCTCTTAGGAGGGAGGTGGGTGGACATTCTCTGTGCATCTCACATGGAACTGGGGGGAAAGGTGGCGCTAGAAACATAGCGAGATGCCTGGACCCTCACCCCAACTATTCTCACACTCCCATGGAGTTTAAGGGTACATAGTAGGAAGAGGGGCAGAGTGAGGTCCAGGAGCATGAAGTTGAAGCCAGAGGAGCAGCTGGGAGCCCTGCCAGTGGTGTTACAAGCAGAGGGTTTTATCGAACACAATATGCACAGGAATAAAAAGGAGTGAAACACAAACCCAGCTGCCGATAAGGCGGGGCACAGGCGGCAGCAGCCCTGGGCAGCCAGTATGGAATTACTGCAGTGACCTTGAGCCAGACCCTGCTGGGTGAAGGAAAGGACATTGAGAAGCCAGGACCTGGGGAGGCCACTTCAGAGAGAAGAGAAGGCAGGAGGCTGGAGTGTGCTGGCAGGGGCAGGGTATAGGCTGTGCTGGGGGGTGAAGGTGGGGGAGTAAAGACCCCCTCCTACACACAGGTTCCCAAGGAGAATCGGAAGGATGGCCCAGAACCTCTTTTCTCAGGACACAGGCCTGGAAGGGTGCCAGAGTGGGGGTTGGAAAATTCCTAAAAGTCAGCATTGAGGAAGCAGATGGCACCCCCAGGGTGGAGGTTCAGAGAGATGGAAAGAACCAATCACAAGCACGAATTTGCTAAAGTATGTGAGCACCCCCACCAGCCAGCACCCCTCCCCAGCTTCTGCCCCCCTCAGGTCCAGAGTGAGCAGTGGGGGAGTGGCAGTGCCCTTCCTGCTTCTGGAGGGACAGGGGACTGAGAGCTAGCTAGCCCCAGGCTGTCTAGCTTCATCAGTCTTGGGGTGGCTATGTCCTGGGGAGCACTGGAGTGGGCTGGGAGCCACTCTGAGGTCCAAGGTGCTGCAGAGCTGATGAAGAGGGAACCACATTGATATGCTGTAGGGAATGCTATCAAGAACCTCCGAGTTTGGTGATGGTCCTGAATCCCTTCCTGTGGGTGGCTAGGAAGTAGGGAGGGTTGCAGGAAAGAAGCTCCAGGTCCTCCATAGCCCTGCCCTGCCCTCCCTAGAGCCTGTTTAGGAGACTAAGCCTTGAGCCCACTCGGCCCTCACCTTCTTGCAGGTTGCCACCGCGGCTCAGGAGGGAGCTTACCTCCAGTGCGGGCTCCCTTGCCCAAGCCCGAGCAGTCTCTGCAGTGACCCTCTGACTTGCGGGGGATGGCACAGCCTCGGGAGCAGCTCTAGAGCCATCCACCATGAACGCTCGTCCCGGAGCCCCACCCTCCACCCGGAGGTGCAGGGTCCCCCAGCGGGATGCAGCTCAGCCTCAGGCCTGCCTCCGCGACTCCTGCCAGCGGCACACTCAGGAGGAAAGTTGCTCAGCTGGCCCGGCAGGTCTGCCTCAGCAGTAACAGGACACAGGAGGACGCCGGCAGGGCGGTGTTAACCTCTTCCTGCTGCCTGCGGGGCGGTGCCTTCGGAGGTGGAGGCCAGCTTCTTTGCGGGCCCGTGACCCCAGGGGTGCAGATCTGGAGCTGACCCACTCAAACCCAGCAGTGAGTTAACCCTTTCTCCACTCCTCAGCTGGGGGAGGGGGAAACAGAGGTGGGGCTAGTCTCCAATATTCCTACCACGCTCTATCCCTCCTCCTCTAAGCCAAGAGGCCCTTCAAGCAGAAGACAGAACCATTCCCTACCGCTGGTCCTTTGGAGGTACCTCGGCCACCCCAAAGAGCATGACTCTGCCTCTCCAATTCAGGGAGGGAGGGCCCTGCCTGCTCCAAACCTTTCTCCCACATCTATGCTAGAGGCCCATGAGGTCCTAACCAAAAAAAAAAAAAAAAGTGAACCCCGGAGGCTTCCAGACACATTGGAACAGCCCCCTTCCACCACCACACACACCTTGAACCGCCAGCCCTAGACTGCCTCCCACCAGTTGTTTGTAGTTGTTACAAGAGAAACCCCATGAGTACCTTTCTTTCCAGATCTGCTACCCTTTACCCACTTCAAAGGCCCTCGTGCCTTTGTTCCAGGAAGGAGAGGGAATTCTCAAAGCAGTTCTTGTTTTGTTGGGTTTTGTTTGGTACAGGGTCTCCCCAGGTAGCCCAGGCTGGCCTCAAACTCATTTTGTAGCCCAGGTTGACCTTGAACTCACAATCCTACTGTCTCAATGTCCCAAGTACTGGGATTACAGGCATTCATCACCCACCATGGCAGAAAAATGTCTCAGGGTCAGATGATTTGATGGGAGAAAGGGATAAAACAGACGAACTCAAAATACTAACTGCTGGCTTAGGACAAGGGTGCCAAAACAGACTTTAGAGAGAGAGAGAGGAAAACTGTACTTGTGAGAATTTCTATTGAACTTGGATTATTGCAAATACTCGTTTGTTTGGGACTTTAGGTGGGCCTGGGTTCAGTCTCAATTCCTCAAGACTTTCCGAAGCTTGGCAAGTACCATCCTGGAGCAGGAGGGGAGCTGAAGTGGAAGATCCCAGGAAGCCAGGCCCACCTGCTCTGCTTCTCTCCCTAGATTCAGATGTCATACCACATGACGTCACTTGACTTGGCTCCAGGAAGCATGACCCTAAAAGTGTAGGCCTGAGGCAGGGACTGTTGTGAGGGTGAGGCGGTCTGCCGTCACCTGACCTCATTTCTTGCTATGCTACTACTGTCTTGCTCTTCTGTTTGTCATCTGCACATCACCCTCCCACATGCAGGTGGCTCCTGCAACCAGGAGGAGGGGAACTAGAGGGGTGGGTAAGCTATGGGAGGACCCGGGTCATGAACTGACACGATTGATACTCAACATCCCCAAAGGCACTACGAAGTGGTAGAAACCTAAAGGTTCTTTATTGACTTTTTCTAACCATTTTCTCAGGAGGCTGCTTGGGCCCAAGAGTCAGCTGCAAAGACGCAAAGGTCCTCAGCACTCTTTGTGGGGCCAAGTTCATCAGCCAGGACCATCATTTCAGTCACCAAGGTATCCAGCAGCCCATAGACCTAGAAGAATGGGATAGACATCAGAGGTCAAAGTTTGCTCTGCAGAAGGCATTATTATGCCAGCCTTGCTTATTAGAAGAAAGATGGAGAGCGGAACACCAAAGTTGCATAGTTTCTGTAGAACTTGGACTGCTGTAAATAGTCATGGTTCTTGGGTCTGGATAGGTCTGGGCTGAATCCCAATTTTATGCTGCCTTCTGGAAGCCAACTCTCCTTCCTGTGAAATCATAAATCCATATACTGAAAGGTTTCCAAGAGCCCTCCATTGGTGTTGATCTACATAGCCTAAACAAATTGATTCTTAGTCTCATAGAGCCCTGTAATTACTTTCTAGACTCAAACAGCAATCAGAAGGCTCAATAATGTCACCAGTAGCAAATCAAATCAAACTTCTGACCAAATGATATCTGGGGTGTTCCTAGAATATGCAATGATGTAAGCCCAGCTCCCTAACTGCCTCATCAGACAAGGCATCACAGACACTCTGACACATTGAACTTGGTTTTATGAACCTCCCTGCAGAAAAACCTCACAGTAACAAAAGATGAAGATGACCTGGGGGCATCTCAAGACCAGACCTGATAATGATGAAATCTTTTCAGTAGCTGCACCCTTGATACCCTTTGAATGCACATTGTCCCCTCCAATGCTTATATTGAAATCTGATTCCCAATGTGACAGTGTTGAGAGGCCTAGGGTCCTTTTAGAGATGTTTGAGTCATGAGGGCTCCACTGTCTTAGAGCAATTAATGTCTTCACAACCTGTGAGTTTAACTGTTAGAAAATGAAGCTCCTCCTTTTCTGCCCCTTCCAAAACATGCCCATTTGCCCCTCTGCTTTCTACCCTGAAATACAGCAGCATGAGGCCCTTCCTGTAGAACTGTGAGCCCAAATAGACTTCTTATCTTATAACACACCTGGTCTGTTTTATTTTGTTATAGCAACAGAACACAGAGAATCTTACATGGTGTTCTCTCAAGGAACACATCAGCCAGTGTTTACCCAAGGGGAGGTGGAATCAACTTTAGAAAGAGAAGGGCTTCATCCCTGTCTGTTCCCTAGAGTCTGTTTTCCAAAGGACAGCTAAAGTCATCCTCAAAAGCCTCAGTGAGAGAAAATCACTTTCAATGTAAAATATTGCATGACTTCTGGGTTCATTCAGAGAAAACCCCAAGTCCTCATATGGGCCAGCAAAGCTCCACATAGCCACCTCACATGCCTTGCATTACAAAGGTCCACTCCTCTCCTCTGCATCAGCAGCTTCCAATGCCTAGGGCACCCTTCCTTGGCCAACTTTCACCTCTTTTCATTTTTGTGGGTGGGTGGCTGATAGAGTAAGCACTCCTCAGTGGAATAAAGGGAATAAATGATCTAAGTGTGAGGGTGGGGGAAGCACGGCTGCCCCTCTTCCCTTCACCTCAGCATGCAACCTCTGGGTGTATTTCTCCAAGACCAGGGGGTCTATGGGCTCCTGTGAAGGCACCATGCTGTCAGGTGTAGGGTCATCCGAGGAGAGCCTGTCCCGGCTTGTAGACTTCACTATTTTCTTTTCATCCTTTGTCTTCTGTTTCTTGCTGTTGAGGCGGTCCTACTTGGAAAAATAGATACACACACAACTTTCAACAGCTCCTGTGGGACGTCTGGCACATCTCGGCAGCTTTCTGAAAGAGCTGCACATTGTGCTGTAGCAACTGCCCACCTTCCATGGCCCCTTCAGTGCTCTCCCCAGCCTCACCCAGGGTGCAGTCCACATCCCCACATGCCTCTTTCCCTGGTGCCTTGGCTCCCTTTTTGTCTTCTTTGTCTCGGATTCCCAATTGCTTCTTTTCCTGAGCAGCCCCTTTCCGCTCTTCCTTCCCAACTTTCCCAGATGCCACCTTCACTTCCATGACAGGAAGGGATTTTCGATCTAAGAGGGTGAATGGGAGACAATGTAGGCCTGGCCAACACCACGTGCCTATCTAGGTCAAGCCTAGACAAGATGGAAAGATGAAGAAAACTGCTGTTCTCAGCAGCTTTGGGATAATTCCTGCAGGATAAGGGCAGAGGGAGCTGGAGAAAGAGGTTTTCCCTCTGTACTCCTGACAAGTGACCTTATGGAACATGACTGTGGGGCAAGGGTAAAAGACCTGGGTTGAGTCCTAGCCCCACTATAGTCACATAAATTCTCTGGACATAAATTCTGCTAAACAAGGGGTCTGCACCAAGGTAGAATCTGAGTCTCAAATCCCGGCATCAGACAGAAGGGTAGCTGGGACCTGCCACCATGGGCTCAATCTGGCCAAGTCTACCATAAAGGGACAAATGGCCAAAGTAGTCCTGCCATCTCATCTAGCAGGGGTTGGAAAAGACAGCACAGAGGTGTGGTCTCACAATGTCTGACCTTGCTCTTCTAGCATATCCAAATACACTGTCTCCTTTTCAGGTAGTTCCAGCAGAACCTTCAGCCACAGCGAATGGCTCACCAGGTTATCAACCACATCTCGCCATAACTGCAAACTAGAGAACAAGGCACATGAGAGAAAAGCCACAGCTCATTTATCCTTGAACCTGCAGAGGCTCAGGTACATCCCTTTAAAGACTCTAGTGCCAGGAACTCCCATGAAAATGCCATGTCACCAAGCAGCCAGCATCCTCCCCAGTAGTGCGAGTACTCGCATGGGGGCCTGGCTTCCCTATGGCAGTAGCCAAGAGACATAACCCAGGACTAGGATTGACATGCCTGAAGGAACTCATTCTGGCTTTAGAGTTTAAACTCTAGCTTGGAGCCATGGCTAGACTTGGGTCTAGCCCCACAGGAAGGACTTGAGCCTCATACAAATTCCCAGCATGAGGCCTCTGGCTCTGTGCTTAAGGCCTTGCAAAAGCCTATCCAAGCAAGTCCTAAACCAGAAATGGGAAGGCTGGGCTGACAACAAAGAAGGGAGGCTTTTCGTGACGCTCCTTCTCAGTGTCCTCTGTTTTCTCCTTTTTTCATTCCTCTGCTCTGCCCTCCCAGAACCCCTGGCCAGGTGCCATCAAGGGAAGGCATAGGGGGGGGAAGCTCCTGGAGGGTACCTACCACATCTGGTGCAGGATGTTGGACTGCAACGGCTTCTGCTCCTGACACAGCTCCACAGCTGCCTTGTTGAGCTGGATGAGGGCTTCCTCTCTCTGGGGTTCCTCAGGGAGGGTCATCACTGCCTGGTTAGGGTCATGGGTACCATGGGAAACCATTCTGTACCAGAACTCCAAAGGTCCCTGTGTTCTCTAATGATGGGCCTGGCAACAAAGCAAGGACCAGGAACCAAGAACCAAGCATGGACTTTCTAGGGTGCTTCTATGGGGACCTGCGACCTCCCCCAGAATCTATACCCATGAACCTTCTTCTCCAAGGCTTTCCAAGGTCACAGAAGGATCCCCTCTATAGGAGCCCCCCTATAGCACAGCCATTCATAAATTTTTTTGGCTTCAAAAGATTACTTTCTCTTGGCCCTCAAAGGGCAAGGGAAGTTTCTGGGGCCTCCCCTACTAGTTCCAGGCAGGAGCACTGTACCCAGCTTTTCTGGGCCATTCTCCACCAACCCCCTTTATGAGGTTAAAAGCACCTTTCTGAAGTCCTCTAGGCACAGGTTCCATCTGGGCAGGGGAGAGCTTTCCTGCTCCCAGGGGCTCTTGTTATAATCCATGTCTAGGTTCTCCTCCACCAGGATCTCCTCCATAATGCTCTTCCCTGAGGAATTCTTGGGGCCTGTGCCAGTCTTCTGAGACAGAAAGGAATCTTGGGGGTCCCTGAGGGCCTCTATCTCGTGTTGGAGTTGTGGAGACTCCAAGACTGGGCTTCTGGTGCTCATGGATTGATCAAGGTTTGCTGGGGCCTTTTCCACATACACAAATGGCATGGAACCAACCTGGGCTCTGGCACTGAGGGGATCCTCCTGGCCTGGCACGGCTTCCTCAGTCTTTAGAGGCAGGACTATGTATTGGTCCCATAGCTGATGCAGGTTTTGTACCACCTGATACTGGTAATACAGCTGCAGCCAAGGTGAGGGAGGACAAGAGGGAGCCTAGTTAGGGAGCCCTAAGCCCATGCAAGTCACTGTGGTTTCTCCCATTGCCTTGAGAGCACAGACTAAGAGGCAGAGAAGAGGAAACCAGAGACAAAGGGACTCCCTACTTCCTCTTCCATCTGCATCTCCAATTCAAATTCCTCTTCTCTCTCTCTCTCTCTCTCTCTCTCTCTCTCTCTCTCTCTCGTGTGTGTGTGTGTGTGTGTGTGTGTGTGTGCATGTGTCTGGGCCTTCCAAGATGAGTTATTGAATGAAGGCGTTGTGATGCTCCAGTCCCACCCACTAAGCATCCACTTAACTTATGAGCTATCTTGGGCACTTTCCTTAACTACTCTAGGCTTTGATTTCCTCAGTGTAAAATGAGGATGTAAACAGTGCCCATATCTCTTAGGACTGCTGTGAGAAGGTGAGTTACTCATGGAAGACACTCAGGACAGCCCAGATCCCAGCAAGTAGAGGGTTTGCTATTCAGTCACCCAGGATGCATAGGGACAGCCCATACCCGAGGGTTCCTATAGCAGAACAAGTCTTCCTCAGTGAGGTAGGCATCCACGGGAGATGGCATGCGCTGTGGGGTTGAGATCCCCCTCAGCAGTTCCTGCAGCACACTCTGTGCGACTGTGACTGCCTCCTGGCCAGTCAGCTTGTTCTGGGGAGGAAAAGGAGACACAAGATGGCAGCCTAGGCTCTAAAGTGTCCATGCATCTTCGAGAAGAACCAGAACCTTCTAGACTAGGGTCTGAGTTCCTGCCTAGATGTCAATCCCTCTGATATACATAGATACCTATTCCAAGACTCAAAAATCTCTAGGTCTCCCAAAACATCTTCATTCCCCTCAAAAGATTAAAAGGCATTCAGTAGAGGCCTGCCAGAGGAAAGCCCCTTCTTGCATGGGATTTGGATCCCCAGTCCCCCATTAGGAAGAAGGGGTGTGGACAGGGTGCATAGTTTGAGCACCGCTAAGAACGGTGGTGAACTTTCTTATGGCCTGGCCACACAGTGAGTGCCACAGAAACCCAACCAAGGATCATCTCTCCCATGCAAATAAAACAAGCTTGGTATTTGTCAGTTACCTCCGATCAGCACTGGACAACCCTCAGCTGATATAGTTGACTGTGTGTACGGGGCACAATGAACATAACAGCCCACCTTTCCACAGAATCCCACAAAGCATGGCATAAGAGAGCTGCATCATGACTACGTGGGTACAGAAGACCCCCCCAGTTCTCACCTCGCTCTCACTCTGGGGTGGCTGCTATGGAGTAGGGTACTGAGGCAGGGTATTTAAATTGCTGTCTCTGGGTCTGAAGTCTTTTCAGTTCAATGCCTCTCTACTGCACAGCCGTAGACAGCAATGAACAAAACACAGCTCCAGTGTGAAGGCTTCTACATCTACCTGGGGCTTACCACTCCAAGCATAAAGGCTCTTATATTAACCTGAATCTTATAGCCCCAGCACAAAGTCTCCTACAGCTACCTGGGACTTACAGCCTCAATGTGAAAGCTCCTACTTGGGACTCAGTAAGTACTTCTGTGACATGTGCATCTTAGGGATCCAACTCATTCCTTTCTAACTCAGGGCTATAAGGTAGGGTTGCTTGTTGCCATGCCCTCCCATCTATATCATAAAGGCCTGGGAAGTATTTGTTCAGCAAGAATTGTTACCTGTTTGAGAAAGAAAGAAAGAAAGAAAGAAAGAAAGAAAGAAAGAAAGAAAGAAAGAAAGAAAGAAAGAAAGAAAGAAAGAAAGAAAGAAAGAGAGAGAGAGAGAGAGAGAGAGAGAGAGAGAGAGAGAGAGAAAGAAAGAAAGAAAAAGAAAGAAAGAAAGAGAAAGAAATCACCCCTCAGGACAGGAAAAATAAAGATTCTCACAGGCACTGCCAGAAAGAACACCAGGATTAACCCATCTGTTGTCCCCACAGCTGAGGTCCTAGGTCCCTTACCTCCAAAAACTTCCTCTCATCCCTAAAAATGTCCTGGGTCAGGGAGATTGCACGGAGAGTGACCTGAAGGCCAGCGCCTCCCAGGAGGGTAGGGTGGGTTCCGAACTCCCAACATTCCCTGAAGATGCCAGCATTCAAAGACTTGAAGAAGAAGGTAAAGTTTTTCGTTTCCCCAGGCAGAATCACACCTGAGAGAGACAGAGCAGAGGTTGTGAATGAGGAGGAGCTGAATGAGGAGTTCGCTGAGTGGAAAGTTCATTGAGGCCCACCTCTGGTGACCAGCCACCCTGGTTTGCCAGGACTAGGATGTTTCCTGGACTTTGGACTTTCTAGCTGGGAAAATTCCAACCACACAGAAATAGTCATCCTCGTCCCAGGTCTATGCTCATAGGTAAATGGGTTCAAGAACATTTCTGCTCCCTGGTGGCTCCCAGTCTTTCAAGAGTCCCCTTGTTCTCTCAACAGACATGAATAGTAGACCACACACTCCAGAAGAGAAACAGGAGGGGCAAGGTGGAAGGAGGGGATGGAACTCGCAGGAGCTGGGTACTAACTAACAATAGAGCAAACAGGGAGCTGATAAGGAGGGCAGCCTGGGGTACCTTCCCGATTGTTAAAGTAAAACCGCTGAGTCCTGTTTCTCTTCAGATCTTGGAAAGAATCCTGCTGGGGCCGCCGTCGCCAGTCATACCAAATAGCCACAGTGCCATTATTGACCACAGTCAGTTCTGAAGATGTTTTCTCTCCTTCAAGTGTTTCAAAGGTCAAACAAACACCGATTCCAATGTTTTTCTGGGGAAAAAGAGGTATGAGAATTGTCCTCACTGAGAGGTTCTGCCCTAGGGTGGCAATTAATCAAGTTTCCCTGTGACTTCTCTGAAAGTCCAATGTTTACTGTGGTCCTCTGGGATTGGCCACCCTGAGTGGTGTCAAACTCTGATGGTGGTTGTCTCTGAGGTTATAACCAACTGTAGGAATGAAAATATGTTAACATCCTATGTTCATTTCTGCTCTTAGCATCTGAAGGATACCCTGGAACTTTAGCGGAGGTCATGACTCACCAGGTAAAGCACTTGCTGTGCTACCATGAGAACCAGAGTTCGGATCCCGAGAACCCACAAAAAAGCCAAGGGGTTGTTAACAGCCCACCAGTAATCCAGTACATGGAAGATGGCAGCAGGAGAGCCCCAGAGCAAGCTGCCTAGCCAGACTATCCCAAACAAGTTCAGTGAGAGACCCTGCGGTAATATATAAGGTAGAAAACAGAGAGGAAGACACCGATGTCAAACGCAGGCCTATACACTATTTGCCTCTTGAGGGCCAGGTACAAACTAGGTAGCTGTGGTGTTCTTTGTAGCCTTGTGATCTCATTTTTGCTCAAGTTAGTGTTGCTGTTACCATTTTCAGACATGCAGAATGTGCGATCAGATCAAAACACAAATAGAAAATGGTGTGGACCCCTTGTGATTGCCTCGGTCACCTTGGAACTATACTCACAAGGAAGGCCCTTCTTGCAGGTGTGTGAGACTGAAGGAACTTTTACCTTGTCCTCTGGGTTACTGCCTCTGATCCAGCAAGCTGGCTTCCCACAGAACAGCAGTGAAGGGCCCAGAGTAGGCATGGGGACCATGTCAGAGACGCTGGTCAATGAATCTCTGGAAGAAAAATCTATGATGTAGTTTCCCAGAAGATGCATAGTCACAGCACTTGGAATTCATAGGAATAGTTACCAGGAAGTCTAGAGACCCCAACAGCCTTGATTGGGCTCAGCTTGCTTCTGACCCCACAAATTCTTTAGGCACGAACATCCTAGGAATCACACAGACTCTCCAAGCCCCTCTCCAGGGCTCTCTCCAAGCCTCTCTCTGTACTACTGTGGAGGCCTCAAGGGTTAGGGACATTTAAGTAGGAGAGCAATGTCTGAACAACTGCCATTGGGTCCCAGTGGTTGGAAAGGAGAAAACGGCAGCAGAAAGCTAGCAGAGATGCTAGAATGGGCTGGGGGCATGGGTGGTAGATGCTGGCAAGGCTGGAATGCAGGCATCCCAATTTTGATTTTGGAGAGAAAAGCCTGCCTTATAGCACTGGTGGGTGCCAGGGGAAGTGTGCTCTCCAGCCTCTCTCCCTGGGGCTCAGACTCACAGGTACACTGTGTCTTCAGAGGAGCTCTCCTCGCTTTTTTCATATGATGGGTACTCTTCCACTGTTACAGACGAGAAGGGCTTCCCACGGCCCACCACCTCCAGGCCATCGATATCCTTAGAAGAGTAGAGAGGGGGAAGATTAGCTGACCGAAGCCAGGTACCTCCCCCGCTAAGGTGCCTCAGACTGGAGTACAAAGGTATTACCAACCTGCTGGCTGAAATCCAGCTCGGCCATGATGCTCTGTAGCTCCTTGCGTCGGTAGATCAGAAACAGACTCCGGTCCCAGGTATAGCGGTACCAAGCATCCTTCTGGGTTGGCAATCCTAGAATGGGGTCGGAAGACCCTCAGGACAGGCTGCCATCATGGCCCCTTCCCACCCACTGCTCAAGGGTCCTGAGAACATCCATCCCAGCAGCACTTCTGAGAAGAATGGAGGGCAAATGCAGCTTCTTTGGGACAGCTCGACTCCAGTCCTCTGGTCCCATGCCCCCTTAGCAGCCCTATGCAGGACTCTCACAAAATAAGTTGCCAGACAGCCAAATCTTTGGATTACAGTAACAATAACAACAGCAGCTACCTTCTGTTGAGTGCTTAACAAAGACAAGTCAGAACCTCTTAATGCATATCATGTCACCTTTAACCCTCTCACAAGCCTATGATGGAAAACCCAGGGCCTCAGGGGTCAAATATCTCAAAAATATTAAGACTGTCATTACAGCTGGGACTTGAATCCATGCAGGCTGGCAGGCTCTAAAGCATAGCTACCCCACAGAAGTATAATGTGCCCCACAAATGCAGGCCACAGTGCCATTTCGAATTTTTCTAGATGCATTTTGAAAAGGCAAAAAAATTTTAAGCGAGATTCATTTTAACATGACTTATTTAACTCCATATAGAAAAACTATTACCATTCCAACATGCAATCAATATAAAACGATTATTAAGTATATATATACATTTTTTTTTTCAAACATGTCTCCAGGAGTAGTAGTCTACACTGACAGTTGCTCTCCATGTAACTAGTCACACTTTCCAGGGGCTCAGCAGCTGCATGTGGCCCACAAACACTCTATGGCCCACAGTTCTATCTACCCTCCCTTTCATACCACTTCTACACTATTTTGCTCAGGTAGGAACTGGATCCCAGAAGAGTCTAGGACTTGTAGAAAGCCACAGGGAAAGAGGATTTTGGCCCAGGGTTTCACAACAGAGCCATGCTTTTCACTACCACACTGTCCTGCTGCCTGCAACCAGGCCAAGAAGCCAGCTGGTTTCAATCCTATTCCTCACCAGTCTCTATCCGGATGGAGTGGGGCTTCCTGATGTGCGTGATGGGCTCTATCAGGCCCCGCTGAGTTTTTGTCTTGGTCATGAGCAAACCTGTCATCTCATCCCCCAGGTATTCCAGTGGACTCCAGAACCAGCTGGATGCCTTGAAGCCCTGACAGGAAGGACAGAGGAGAGAGGTCAGCTCTATACCTCAGTCAGAGGCTAGTGGGGGCATCCTCTGTATCCCGCTGGAAGAAGAGAGGGCCTTTCATAAATTGTTTTCAGGATACCCTGCAGTACCTTTCACTGCTACCAAAAAGGTGGAGTGAGTTGGTCCCAGTCAAGGTACTCACTGATGCACCAGAACACAGCACCATGCCTTATCCTGGCTTAGACCAAAAGCTGGACTCTAAGCCTTTAAGAGACAAACACTAAGACTCTTATGATAAACTAACCATCAGGGACCACCACAGGCTGAATTATTCAAGTGACCAGTTCCAGAACACCAAATAATAAAATAAAGATCTCAAGGGCTTTATAATGCTTGGTAACAGACAGATTGTTTTCTTCCCAGCTGTGCAACCTGAGACAGCTAGCACAGCTCTCCATGCCCCCACCTCTCCCTCTCTCTCCTCCCCACCCCACCCCCACACACTGAGGGGCACTTGGGAATAGTGGCCTCACTTTCATGTCATGCTGGGTTGGAAGCGCACGGTCAATGAGCTCCCGTTCCTCCTGGATCTTTCTGTAGGTCTCCCCAGTGTGCATCAACAGCTCACTGACTGGCTTCTTCAGGTGTGCTAGGGGGCCGGGCGGGGGCGGGGGGGAAGCAAGAGGGGAGCCACTGCACCAACACCGACTCTGGCACCATGTATTAGGCACCCCACTCACAGGGCTCATTTCAGGACCCACCGAGGCTTAAGAGCAAAAAGCTCTCAGTAATGACAGCACAAATGTGGTCAGTGCCAGTCCAGGCTCTGGACAGGTTGGGGAGAAGACACAGTAGAGCCTTTGTACCAGATGGAGGCCCAGCAGGCCCTGTCAGCTCTGCTCACCACTGAGGGCCTCCTGCTGCTTCTTCCACAAGGCAATGTGCCGCCTCCAGTTTTTCAGAAAGTTGTGCTGAGGAGGAGGGGCCCATGGAGGTCTCTTCTCTTCCTTTGGGGCCTTTGGCCTTGGCTCTTCTTTAGCTGAGATGAGGGTCTTCAGGAAGGGTTGGATGTGTATCAGCTCAGCCAGCTGGAAAGCAAAAGATGGGTATGTGGAGAATGGGCAGAAAGCTCTGGCCTGGGCCTGGGTACCGGTGGCTGTCCTACTCCAAGGAGAATCTCTCCTCAGAACCGTAAGGTGGCAAGGGACAGAAAACCAATCATAAAAGCAGGGGGGTGCTGAGGAACACTGACAGCTCCCCACCCCCCTGAAAGGTCAGCATCCTTTAGGGTATCTCTTCCTCACGACTCCCCTACAAGACAAGCTCTGAATCTCTTATGGTAAATCCCCACTTCAACTGAAGTTGACTTAAACTGGCTTCTGTGACTTGCATCTACTTCCTAGTGGTCACTTATCAGCTAGGACTAGAGGCACAGAGACTGTTCTGACCCTTGAACTCTGCTTCTGCTTGACTCTGAAGGGAGCAGTTGCAAAGAGCTTTAGCAATTTCTCTTAGCCAGGTAGCTCTGTAGAAACAAACCTGAGTATTCCCTCGAGCAACTGCAATTCTTTTAAAGTCCTGGAGACTCCCCAAGATCTGGTGAGGCAGGATCTGGTCATTGCCTAAGAAGCTGTCACTGGGACCTGGGGTTGGGAGAAAAGAGGGATGGAAAAAGACAAGCTGTAAACTATACACAAAACAACTTGTTCATGGAGACTGGGCTTTCTTTCAAGGCTGACCCATGAATGCAAAGCCCAGGGGAGCCATACCAGAGTAGTCCAGGGGCTTTGAGGCTGCATCTGGATTGGCAGGATGTGCTACCAAATGGTAGACCTTCTTGCCAGGCTCCTTGGGTTTGGGCTTACGGATGATAAATTTCTGGGTAACAACAGACGTTTCTCTTGTAGATCGAGGACTATGTTGCTAGAAAGAAACAGAACAGAAGAGAATTCCATCTGAGTGGAAAAAAAAGAACACTATGCCCCTGACCCAGTTCTTGGTGGAATTCCTGAAGGCTGACAGGTCTGCTTCCCCAGCTCTATCCTTATGGCCCATCCTGGAAATGCCTGTGTAACACACCTAAAGCTAAGAACTGCCTGGAGGGAAAAATTGACATGTGGCATGTCCAGACAGTTGAGGTGAGAAGTGGCTGACAGGTAAGGCATGGGGCTGGAGCTTAGCAACCTTGTGCCCAGATCTACCCATGCTGGTTGCCCATCTGTGATTTGGACATGGTGGCACTTGCTTCAAGGTATCTCATTATCTTATGGACCTACCAGAATCTCAGAAATGTGAAAACATAACTCAAGTTCTTTTGTATGCTCAAGTGAAAGAATTTGTGTTTAATACATTTTTTTCCATGGAATTGGTGACTCCTTGGGGATAGGAAGTCAGTGGAGGGACGGACAGTGAGCATGATGTTTTAGATCCCGGAGACTGGCAGGATAAGGGGTTGGCAGTAAGGAGCCCTGGTCTTCAGCCTTACCTTCTTCAAGTCTTCCTTCTTAATGGCCAAGGCCAGAATGTCATCTCCTTGTAAGACATTGCTGACGGGCTCAGGCTCCTCCTGAATGGGGGATGTGGTCTGTTCAGGTGCCTTTGCCCACTTCTTTTCTGAAGAGAAGCAAAAGGTAAAGTGTGTTCAAAGAGCTCTACATACTGGGGCTGAAGAAATGGCTCAGTGGTTAGGAGCACTGGTTGCTCTTACAGAGGATCCAGGTTCAAGTCCCAGCACCCACGTGGCAGCTAACAACCATCCATAACTACAGTTCCAGGAGATCTAACGCCCTCTTCTGATCTCTGTGGGCAATGCACAACATGGGTATACTTACATACATGCAGGCAATGCACTCACGCACATAAAATAAAAAAAATATTTTTAAAAAGAGCTCTGCATATACAAATGCATAAATAAAATAATAAATCTAGAGCTGAGGAAGCAGCTCAGTGGTTGAGTGCTTGACTAACTAGCAAGCAAGTTAGCAAGGCCTATGGTTCAACTCCTAATACCATAATATATGAAAGAATGGATGGATGAATAGATGGATGAATGAATAAATGAATGAATAATAACCAGGGAAAGAATAGCTTTAGTGTCAACCTGACACACCTGGGTTGAGGGAGCCTCAACTGGGGAATTGCCTCCATTGAACTGGCCTGTGGCCAGGTCTGTGAGGCATCTTCTTGATTGTTATATGATGTGGGAGGGCCCAGCCCACTGTGGGTGGTGCCACCCCTGGGTGGCTGGGCCTGTATTGCATAAGAAAGCAGGTTGAGCAGGGGCCAGGGGAGCAAGCCAGTAAGCAGCATGCCTCCATGGCCTGTGCTCTAGCTCCTGCCTCCAGGTTCCTGCCCTGAGTTCCTACCTTGGGCTCCCTGATGAACTGTGACCCAGGAGATGTAAGCTAAATAAACCCTTTCCTCCCCAAGTTGGTATTGGTCAGAGTATTTTGTCACAACAATGAAGAAACAAACTGATACAGAAATTGGTATCAGAGAGTGGGGTATTGATGTGACAGACCTGACCCAGTTGTTTTGGGGAGGATGGTGGAAGTGTTTGGAACTTTGGGCTGGAAAAATCATTGAGTGCTCAGAGTTTGTTGCTGTGGAGCTTGGAACAGTTCTACTGAAAGAGTTGTGGACGATGGAGACCTGGCTTGTGAAGCTTCATAAGGGAGGCAGAGACTATCAGGGCTGTTCGTGTGATATTTTGAATTGAGAATCTGTGGGTTCTGGTTGGCTGGGGCTGAAGAATCAGCTGTGATTAAAAAGAGACCAGAACCTGAAGTAAACCTTTGCTTTACTGGGGCAATTGATGCTGGTTAGCTGGGGCTAAAAATTCAGCTGTAAGTAACAAGAGACCAGCATCAATGTGGTGAAGTCTTCTGGGAGGTATTTCCTCAGGGTCAGCACACAGAGTGGACCCGAGCTTCTATCTCAATCTGAAAGCAGGACTTGGTAATGTGTAAGCATCTCCCATATGGTTCTGGTGTTGAAAGTATGAAGGGGTCACAGAGAGCAGCTGAGGCTTGGCACTGTGAGAGGCCAGGAAAGGCCGTAGGTGAAAGTGCAGCTTCAGTTGCAGTGAAGACCCCAGGATTGAAGGGGTCACGGAGAGAATCTGAGGCTTTGCACCCTGAGAGGCAAGAAGAGGCCATTGGTGAAGGTGTAGCCTCAGTTTCAGTGGAGACCCCAGCTGTGTGGAGATGCCAGGACCGTGGGCTGACCACCAAGGACCCCAGTAGGTGTAGAATGGAGCTGGCCTGGGTCTGCAAGACAAGCTGTTTGTGCTGTGGACTGCAGAGTCAAAGAAGTGGAGCTTCCAGAACCCTTTGGAGGCCAGAAGATCGTGAGTGAATCCCAGATATCCAGCCTTGAGCTACTTTGCTGGTCTTTGGTTTTGCTTAGGTGTGCCCAATCCTTCCCTTTGAAATAAGACAGTATTTGTTTTGGATTTTACAGAAGTCTACCCACAGTTGAGACTTTTAAAAGAGACTATGGACTTTTAAGTGTTTGGATTTCTTAAGGACTATGGGGCTTTTAAGGTTGTACTATCTTATGTTGTGATGTTAACATCATACCTTGGAGATGAGAATTGGAAAGATTATGGTTTAATAGTGATATGCTTGTGTTTCAAGTTGACAAGGGGTCATTGTGCTGGATAGCTTTAGTGTCAACTTGACACACCTGGGTTGAGGGAGCCTCAACTGGGGAATTGCCTCCATTGAACTGGCCTGTGGCCAGGTCTGTGAGGCATCTTCTTGATTGTTGTGTGATGTGGGAGGGCCCAGCCCACTGTGGGTGGTGCCACCCCTGGGCAGCTGGGCCTGTGTTGCATAAGAACACAGGCTGAGCAGGGGCCAGGGGAGCAAGCCAGTAAGCAGCATGCCTCAATGGCCTGTGCTCCAGCTCCTGCCTCCAGGTTCCTGCCCTGAGTTTCTACCTTGGGCTCCCTGATGAACTGTGACCCAGGAGATGTAAGCTAAAAAACCCTTTCCTCCCCAAGTTGGTATTGGTCAGAGTATTTTGTCACAGCAGTGAAGAAACAAACTAGGCCAGTGGCACAGGTTTATAATCTCAGTTCTTGTATGCTGACACAAGAAGATTCCAAGTTTGAAGCCAGCCTGGGTTACATAGTGAAACCTTGATTCAAATAAAAAAGTCCATATAAGACCATACAGTAGGGGGCCAAACTAGCCACCTGGACAGGACAGGACATCAGAAGCTGTCACAGTGGTCCAGGGTAAGGGGAGTTCTCTTTAGGGACCGCCTACCAACTTCCCATGACCTGCCATAGTGACTGAGATGTTTCTTGACATAGCTGAAATCAAAAGGTGGTCCATTTCAGGCTCTGTCATTTGAAAGTTGGACAAACTTGGGTACATCCTTTACTGTCTCTGGACCAGCCTTCCACTTATAAAAAGAAGATGAAATTGGGGGCTGGAGAGATGGCTCAGCGGTTAAGAGCACTGATTGCTCTTGCAGAGGACCCGGGTTCGATTCCCAGAACATACATGGCGGCTATGAACCATCCTTAACTCCAGTTCCAGGGGAATCCAAAGCCCTCTTCTGACTCCAAGGCATTGCATGACAGGTACTCTCACATATATGCAGGCAGTACACTCATACACATTTAAAAAAATTTAAATAAAAGAAGACAAAATTGGACTAAATTAATGGTTCCCAAACATGACTCCTCTGTCAGCCTCAGTCTTCTGGGGGTAGTCTTATAAATACTGCTTCCTGACTAATGTGTGGAGCTGGGGAATTAAACTCAAGTCTTGGGATTCTGGTGTATAATGGCTCGGGATAACTGGATTAGATGTTTCCTTAGCCTCCTCCAATGCTGGCAGTAATGGGTTCTTCTAGGTGATGGCATAAGGCTTCTTTTACTTAAATTGTATCTCTTTTTTAATTTTTTTTTAAGACAAGGTCTCATGTAGCCTAGGTTGGCCTTGAATCCACTATGTAATCCATAGTCCATAGTGTAGGCACCTCCTGCCTCCACCTCCCAAGTGTTGGGGGCAGGGTGCCACCATACCCAGTGGTCTGGTATCAGGTTTAAGACACTGGTGAAGACACTGGAGACTGCTGGGTTGCAGAACATTCACCACTGACCACTTGGTTCATATTATTTCACTTAATGACTGTGTCAGCAACTTTTATGTGTCAGGCACTGTTCAAGATCCTGAGAAGACAAAACAGACTCAGTCTTGAGTGAAGACAGCCACAAGAGATAAGACTGTCAAGCAAACTGAGCTTGGAACACTATTGGGAACCCAGGAGCTAGCCCAGGCTAGGTGGTGTCAGGAAAGCTTCCTCCTTAAGGAGGTGATGTTCAAACTGAGAGTGAAGGGGGAAGAGAGGCTGCCAATGGGAAACACGTGTTCAGAGGGAAAAGCAAGAAGAGGCCTAGAGGCCAGGGAGGAAGGGGCATCCCCTGGAACACTGTACTGGAAAACCACTGGAGTGGGGGTAGGAAGCACGGATGGCAGAAGGAAGTAGGAGCCATGCCACCCTGAGCTTAGTGAGACATTCAGGGGACTTGAGTCTATCCTAAGGGCAATGGCAGGGCCAGGGATAGCCTAGGGGCTGACACTGAGGACAAGATTATTTCACATTTCAGAGAACACTGTAGCAGTGAGGTGACAGATGGTGACAGTGGCCTACGCAACTAAAGAAAAGTGGAGAGGTCAGAGTTATGCCGTTCAAGTGGCAGCCATGAACAATGCAGGGGCATAAAGGCCCTCTGATCAGGACACACTCTGCCTGCCTCCTGAGAGGTGTCTTAACTCTTTCAAATGCACACCTTGTTTCTCTGGTTGGTAGACTCATCTTTTTCCCTCTGGTTGAGAAGGGTTTGATGTAAGGATCTACACAAAACAATCAAAAGAAAACCTAAACTTGGCCTTCAGGGCATTTAAAACAAAATTTGGTTTTATCTACTGCTTCCCAAAGTACTCTAATCTTCAAGAGACTATACCTCTGCAACATCAAGGCAGGGGCTTTGCTTTATACAAACTGTTTTTGAAAAGAGATGTCCACATTGCAGGTGGCTTTAAAAAGAAAACAAGAATCATTCCAAACATAACTCCTAAGTTTAGTTTGCCAGTCAGCGTCCATCTCCTCCACAGGAGAAGCAGTGCAGCATCTGTCCACAAAACACACACACAAAGACACACACACAGACATACAAACCAGGCACACACACACATTCAGAGACATACATAGACACACACAGATACACACAGACACACACACACACAGATACCCACAGACACACACAGGTGCGCGCGCGCGTACACACACACACACACACACACACACACACACACACACAGCTTGATTTACTATGGTCTGATCGTCCACCTGAAGATATGGCCTTGGGTTTTGATTTTTTTTTTTTCTTTTTGAAACAGGAACTTGCTATGTGGACCAGGCTGGCCTGGAATTTGCAATCCTCCTGCCTCAACCTCCTGAGTGCTGGTATTGCTATACCACCTAGACTCACTGGGGTTCTGGTTTCTACTTGTCTCCCCCTTCTACACAAGCATCCAAGTGAGTGGTGACCCACAAGACAACTGCTACCAGTTGAAGGCCTGCTTTTAGACATGTTTTAGTATTATATCTTCCAAGACATTTGTTGCTTCTGCCCATCACTTTGATTGGTCTACATCTTCCCCAGGGACTAAACAACTCCAGATGTGTTTTTCGCTGATGGGTATAGAATTACTGGCAGATATAAACACAAGTCTTCAACACTGCTGAAGACTGCTGAGGTCAAAGCTCCCACTGCTCTCAGTGAACAACATAGAAGCTGATTGGTCATGGTTGGTTAAGACTGAAGCAGCCCTTGAAAATTCTGGTCTGAGGTTTGTCTTAGTTATCTTGATTGCGTTACAACAAATGCTGTTACTCTGCACAGTTAGGGGATGGTATGTGTTTTGTTTAATTAAATAGCCATTAAAATGACACACGACCAGGAGTGGTGGCTTGCGCCTTTAATCCCAGCACTCGAGATGCAGAGGCAAGTGGATCTCTAAGTTCAAGGCCAGCCTGGTCTACATAGAGAGTTCCAAGCCTACATGGTTAGACCCTGTCTCAAAAAACCAAAACAACCACCAAAAAAGATAAACATATTTCAAAGTAAAGTTCATCCTAGAAAACATTCACTAACCACCTTTTTTTTTTTTAAGTTTTGGCCTTACACTCACGGTAATCAGTTTCCCAAGTGCTGGGTTTACAGGTGTGAGCCACCATGCCTGGCTCACCAAGCACCTTCTATGTGCTGTAAAGGGCAGAGAAGATGGTATAAAAGGTTACAATATGGCTTCTCTTGAAGGAGATACCAAACACACAGCGATGTTAGCAATGTAAGCAACTGTGTGAAAGGTGCCCTAGTAAGTCTGATTAGACATTACAAGAACAGAACCATGCTGGTCACAGAGTTGAGAATGTTCAAGGAACAGTTGCAGTGACAGCTTTCTAGCCAAGAGGGGCTGGAAGGAGAAAAAAGTTTTGCAGAGGTGGATCTGAAAATAGAGCTGTTCTGGCTAAGGCCACAGTGCGAGCATGGCTGAATGTAGCAGGTGTATGGCATGGTGACATGGAAAGTTTGCTGGGGGGGGGGGGGCTGCAAAGAATGAGGAAAACCAAGACATGGTGGCTTTGAGACCCTATCTCAAAATAAGTTTTTTTAAATTTTATTTATTTTATGTGTATGAGAGTACTGCTTACATGTATGTGAGCGCACCCATGTCGTGCAATGCCTCAGAGGTCAGAAGAGGGCTCCGGATTCCCCTGGAACTGGAGTTAAGGATGGTTCATAGCTACCATGTGGGTGCTGGGAATCAAACCAGGGTCCTCTGCAAGAGCAGTCAGTGTTCTTAACCACTGAGCCAACTCTCCAGCCCCAAAATAAAAAAATTATTAAAGGTGCTTGGTGAACATTCTCTGGGATGAACTTTATATATATACATATATATATTATATTATCACTGCAATGGATATTAAATGAAGTCTAACTCAGGAATCTGACCCCTGGTAAAGGAGGACGATGTGATGATGGTAGCATTTCAAAATGACCCATTCAGCGGCAGCCAGACAGGCAGACTGGAGGGAGACCAGAGAGGAAGGACCAGCCTTGCAGTGGGGGGGGGGGGTTCAAGGCCTCCTGGAGGACTTGCACAGGGTGGAGGTATATCACTACTGAACCTGGGGAGGCCCAGACCCTTCATGGTCTTTCTTCCGGAAACCCATGCTTTGTTTGTCCTGTCAGGTGACACATCAGGGGGTCAGGACTGCGAAGAAGCAGAATTCCAGAGGGAAAAGAAACCTGGAGCTGATTTTTCTACTTCCATCTAAATGTTACTCTTTTTCAGTGTTGATGAAAGTCTTTGAGAAACTGACTTTAGAGTTGAGCTGGGGAACCAAGGCAGTTCCTAGCAGAGCAGAGCTATCAGTGGCATGGAAGGGGTAATCTAATGTTACCTGTTTCTTAGCAACAAGACCAGGGAGAATCTTAGGACTTAGTAGGTGCTTAGGTCTAAACCTAAAGCAGGGAACCTAAAGCAGGTTCCCAGGCACATTTGCTTGTCTTTTAGCTCGTGATTCAGAGGCCACAGAAACACATAGCACAAGACTACAGGATCACATTTGTGGACTGACTACATGACACTGGGGATGTGGGTGTACTGCCCTACTACACTGGAGGCGCTGAGAAAGTTCAGGAAAAAGAGACCTTGCATATTAAATACTCTGTTTTTTTCCCTCCTCACTCTGAGCATGTTCTTAACTCAAGGGCTATTTAACAAACCAAATTCTTCCCTTATTAAAAACAAATATGCAGTCAAAAATCCTTCCTTGATCTGTTTACAGCAGAAAGTTCAAATCTGATTAAGATCACACAGAAAGTAGGTGAGCATGAGGGAATGGCCAAGAAAGCCCTTGACTGCCCTTGGGAAAGGGAACCAATTATTTTTTTCAATCTCTTTCTCTCTTAACTATTAAAAAGTATGTCATGAAACAGCATTGGCTTTTTATACTATGAAGAAACATAAAAGAAAGCCATATCAAAAAAGTGACTAGGGTCTTGTTAGTTTTCCGGGCCTCCCAGGGGGCTCAGTAGATCTTGGCCTTCCATCTCTAATCACACTGAACTTGCACCATGTCTATGAGCCTGGGTCCCCTTAGGACCTGCAAAGGCACACCCAGGCTTCCTGACCTTGCATGGAAAGTTCTCTCAAGGTCTGGTCCCTGCCCATCTGCACAGTGTCCTCTGGCTCCTGTGTCATTGGTCCATGGACTCATGCTGCTCCCCAAACCAGAAGAAGCAAACCCTTCCTTTTTTTCCTTTTTTTTTAATCTGCCACACATCACCTATTTCAGAAAAATTTCCCTAAGTTCACCCAAAGGTCTAGGTCAAGGGTTCTGAGCGTCTTTAACCCCTGATGGGCCTCTATATCAGTGTTTGTATGTCTTTTGGTAATTCCTCTGGTTCTTCATTAGACTGCGTTTCCAGAGGGCTGAAGTCTCACAGTATTAATACCTGTTTGCCTAGCTGTGTCCACACATGGCAGGCCCTCAGTAAATAATTTAAAACAAAAACAAAAACAAAGAGCAAAGCATGTTGCTCAGTACCAGAATGCCTGTCTCACATACATACCCAAGGGTTTCATCCCCAGTAGGAAATTAAAATAGGTAGTGGGTTGTAAATGGGAAAATGGAAGCAGTCATGTTTAGTGTTCCACGTTGAACCAGTGAGCTGTCAAAGGCTGGAAAGGGCAGGTGGTAGGAAACGGTGCTCTGAAACCAGTCAAATTAGGTGGGTTTTTTTCTGGATTTTTTTTTCCCCTCTTGGACTCTTAGGTGACCCCTGCACCAGTTCCCAAGAACCCTGTCAGGTGTTCAACTTCCAAATTCCTGACTCCTCTATCCTTAAACTGCCCCCCTGCCCTTGGGCACCTGAACTAGTCCAGGGAGCCTGCCCCGTACACCACTCTAAAATTTAATTCGAGGCAAATGTCTCTTACTCCTGCTGCTGAAGGCTGTCTCCCTGCCGCTGGTCCCTGAAGTCTGTCAGTGCCTCACTAGCTGTATCATCATCACCAAGGTCCGGAGCGCTGTGCCTCCTCCCCTCCAATGTCCCTGCCTGTGTTCTAGTACGTGATATCCCAGGAACCCTGATGTTACTCCCATTATCCAGGCGCCCAGTGCTAATCCCAGCCCAAGCATCCGGGTGGGTTTTCCTGAGCACCAAGGGCTCCAGCGCCAACCTTTGAGGTTCTCTGCGGCCTCCAAGAACCTGCCGGTGGGGATTCTGGCGCGGGATTCCTTCTTGAGGGTCTTCATGGTGCTGTCCGACTACGAGCGTGGCCCGGCGCCACCCGGCCCCCCGAGGTGACCGCGCAGCGCCGCACCCACCGCGACCCCGCCAGCCAGCAGCCGCCACGGCGTCCATAGCAACCAGCGCCTCGCGCGGGAGCGCGCACCCACCGAGTATCTTGGGCAGAGACTGCTTGTCAGTCACCTTCATCAGGCCCGCGCCGGTCCTCCGCTAGTGGCGCCTCCAGCTAGCAGACCCCGGGAAAAGCCCGGGTCGGACTCCTTACGTCACAGGTGGCGCAAGAGAGCGCCATGGCGTCACTAGCCGGACAGTGGAGCCGAAGATCGCTGCGCAAGTTAGGGAGGCTGGAGCGGCTGGAGTCTGCAATACGGACTCCAGAAGCGTCTTCCCTTGAGCTACCGCCGGCCGGCCGGCCTTGCGGCTTCCCTCCACTGCCTTCTCAGACCCAGCTGACCACACCTGGACTGCCTCCCCTGGTTTACATGCCCCAGGCCCGGCATGCCTGCCACCTGCCCTCCCCACCTCGTCGTTCCATCACTTCCCAGTCCCAAACAGCTTTATGCAGACTTGGGAGTCTTTGCACACTGCCTGTCTCTGTCCTTGAGATGCTGCCCTTTGTTCCCGAATAAAGCAGTCTCATCCTGCCATCTCAAATTTATAATCAGATCTGCTTTAGTTTGTCTTTGACCCAGAAATCTAATGCATTCTAGAATTCTCTGGTTTATGTTTGAGGTTGGGCCCCTCTTCTGGGTCCCTCTCCAGGGCCAGGACTTTTTTTCCAAGCCCCTCTAGAGCTCACTCCCTGTGAGGCTTCAAGGGCAGCCCTCATCCTGCTGGGGCCCAGACACCAGCTTCCCTCCACCCCTAGTATAGTTCCCTCCAGGAACATTTATTGGGCACACCTGGTAGGTGCTATGTCACCTGGGCTGTCCAAGAAGCAGGCATTGTGATAAAACAGGAGTGAAAAAGGTTTCTGGCAGGAAGGGATGGGGCTGATGAGATTTAGAGCCTCTGAGTCCATGAATGAAAGGCAGAGTGATGGAGAAGGAAAGAACTTCATTAGAGTGAGCCAGCAGGCTCCCCTTCAGTGACCATCTCACAACTTGCCCTAAGGAAGTCTCATGATTTCTTTTCCATTTCTTCTTTTCCTTTTAAAGGCAAGATCTCTTTTTTAAAAATTGTAGTTATTATTTTTATTTTATGTGTATGAGTGTCTTGCTTGCATATATATAAGTGCACCTATGCCATGCAATGCCCACAGAGGTCAGAAGAGGGTGTCAAATCCCCTGGAACTGGAGTTACAGGCTGGACAATTGTTAACCTCCATGTAGGTGCTGGGAACCAAACCCAAGTTCTCTGTAAGAGCAGCCAGTGCTCTTAACTGCTGATCCATCTCTCCAGGCCCAAGACAGGATCTCTTTTAAAAACTAATTTTTAAAATTTTATGTGTCTGAGTGTTTTGCCTGCATGTAAGTGCACCATGTAGGTACAATTCCCATGGAGGCCAGAAGAGGGCTTTGGATCCTCTGGAACTGGAGTTACAGAGGATTGCTGGCTACCACATGGGTGTTGGGAACAAAACCCAGGTCCTCTGTACTCCAGTACTTTTACCCACTGAGCCATCTCTCCAGCCTCAAGAGAGAATCTCTTTTAACCCATGGTGGCCTCTGTTCTAGTTTGCCTTCAATTGCTGTGACAATACACTCTGACCAATATCAGCTTGGGAAGGAAAGGGTTTATCTTACATCTCCTGGGTCACAGTTCATCATGAAGGAGCCCAAGGTAGGAACTCAGGACAGGAACGTGGATGTAGGAGCTGAAGCACAGGCCATGGAGGAGCGCTGCTTACTGGCTTGCTCCCCTGGCCCCTGCTCAACCTGCTCTTTTATACAGTACAGAACAACCTGCCCAGGAGTGGCACTGCCCACAGTGGACTGAGCCCTCCCATATCACTCAAAAATCAAGACAACACCCCACAGACATGGCCACAGGCCAGTTCGATGAAGGCAATTCCCCAATTGAGTCTCCCTCTACCCAGGTGTGTCAAGTTGACAACTAAAGCTTATCAACTCAGCCTCAAACTCACTACTGTGTGTAGCCAAGGCTGAGATTGAGCTGATTCTCCTGCCTCTACCTCCCAAATGTTGAGATTATAGATGTGCTGTGCCTCCATACCTGCCTAAAAGGTGGTTTTGTTTTCCATTATTGGAGACTGGACTCAGGGCTTTGTGTATACTAGGCAAGTGCTCTGTCACCAAGCTACACCCCCAGCCCATATGATTTTTCAGGGGAAGGTATGTGAATACCACTCAGGCACTTCAGTTATACAGTGTTTCAAAAAATAGCCCTTCTGGAATGTGGGCTCTACATCTTATCTCATGCTCATAGGTGCTGAGAATTGCAGACCAGTGGATCTAAAGAAGACATAAATGGAGCATCTGTAATCCCAGCACTTGGGGGTGGTGGCAGGAGGATCAGAAGTTCAAGGTCATCCTCAGCTATATGGTGGCTTTGAGGCCAGCTGGGGCTATATAAAACCCTGTCAGAGAGAGAGAGAGAGGGAGAGAGAGGAGAGAGGAGAGAGGAGAGAAGAGGAGGATATAAATGACCAAAGTCTCTGGGTTGGTTAAAGTGACTGGTGTATAGTTTTTGCTGTGGTCAGAGTTTCTGGCAAGCACTTTTCCAGTTGTGACCTAATGTCATAACTTGGGACTGGGGAGTGGTCTGGAAGGGAGGGTTTGTTCATTCCTCACTGACTTCATTTTGTAGATAATCTGCAGGAGACAGAGCAGTGAGGTTAATGAAAGAAGGAGAAAGAAGGTATCAAAAGGCCACATCATACCCCATAAACATATGCAACTATTACTTGTCAATTGAAAACAGAACTTTAGCAGGCCTGATGTTGCACACCTGTAATTGTAATACTGGTGAGAAGGAGGCAAGAGAATTGTGTTTGAGTCCAGCCTGGGCTACACAGTGAGTTCTAGGGCAGCCTAGGAAATATAGCATGACCCTATTTCAAAAGAGTTGATGAAGAGTGACAAAGCAGTTGTCAACAGATTTAACAAAGTCTAGGCCAAACCAGCATGTCCTCTGGACAAAGAATGTTCATCAGAGGTAGTCAGCTAAGTGCCCTCCTTGCAAGTGAACAGCAAGCTTTTTCTTAAAGGGAATCAGGATGATTCATTCCCAAGGCTACCTCAGGAGCTCTAGAGAGATGAGGGAAAAGTGAAAACTGTCTCCTCTTGCCCTCTAGGAGCTCAGTGTCCACTTCAAGAAAGACAAACATTCTTGAAACTCCAATCTACACCCAGCTTCTTAACTTTTCGGACCTACACAGCTTAAGGGTAGCCTGGCTAGGAGGCTTCAGTAGGATCAAAGGACGAACAAAGGAAGTGTGTTGTCAGGCAGATATGTAGCCTGGCTGGGCTCTGCCACCAGCCAGAGTGACCTTATACAGGTTTCATTCCCTCTGTACCTCATGAAAGGGTTGAACCAGATCAGAGCTGCTTAACATTTTGAGAATCTGATCAAAGTTGAGAATCTCCCCAGAAATGTGCTTTTCATTTTATTAAATGTAGCAAAACAGAGGTAACATAAAATTTGCCATTTTAAGCCAAGTGTGGTGGCACACGCCTTTAATCCCAGCACTCAGGAGGCAGAAGCAGTCAGATCTCTGTGAGTTCAAGGCCAGCCTGGTCTACGTAGTAAGTTCCAGGACAGCTGGGGCTACAGGGAGACCCCCCCCATTGCCATTTTAACCTACAGGTTTGTTTGTGTTCAGTATGGTCATTGCATTTCACAACCACCACTGCTGTGTAGTCCTAAGGTTTTCATCCTCCCCAGAAGGAAATGCCATATTCATTAAGCACTCAACTCACCACCCGTTTTCCTCTCTTCCAGACCCTGGCAACCACAAACCACTTTCTGACTTTACTGGTTTGCTTATTCTGGATGTTGTATATGGGATCTTGTGATATGTACTGCTCTATTCCTTAGTATGTAATTCATTCCTTTTCATGGCTGAATTCCATTGAATAACACATTTTGTTAATTCACTCAATATACACATTTAATTTTTAATTTTTTTTTGGTCTTTTTGAGACAGGGTCTCCCTGTAGCCACAGCTGGATTCACTATGAAGACCAGGCTGGCCTCGAACTCACAGAGATCTGCCTGCCTCTGT